AAAATAACAATAGCGAGACTATTTACAGGGGGTACCGGTACCGAGTCAACGTGCGGGGGCACCGGTTAGTCGAGGTAATTGAGGTAATAAAGTGCCTTGCAAAAGTATTCATCCCCCTTGGAGTTTTTCCTATTTTGTTGCATTACAACCTGTTATTTTAATGGATTTTTATTTGGATTTCATGTAATGGACTACACAAAATAGTCCAAATTGGTGAAGTGAAATGAAAAAAATAATAACTTGTTTTTCAAAAATATTAATAACGGAAAAGTGGTGTGTCCATATGTATTCACCCCATTTGCTATGAAGCCCCTAAATAAGATCTGGTGCAACCAATTCACTTCAAAGTCACATAATTAGTTAAATGAAGTCCACCTGTGTGCAATCTAAGTGTCACATGATCTGTCACATGATCTCAGTATATATACACACCTGTTCTGAAAGGCCCCAGAGCCTGCAACACCACTAAGCAAGGGGCACCACCAAGCAAGCGGCACCACGAAGACCAAGGAGCTCTCCAATCAGGTCAGGGACAAAGTTGTGGAGAATTACAGATCAGGGTTATAAAAAAATATCAAAAACTTTGAACATCCCATGGAGTATCATTAAATTCATTATTTAAAAATGGAAAGAATATGGCACCACAACAAACCTGCCAAGAGAGGGCCGCCCACCAACTCACAGACCAGGCAAGGAGGGCATTATTCAGAGAGGCGACAAAGAGACCAAAGATAACCCTGAAGGAGCTGCAAAGCTCCACAGCGGAGATTGGAGTATCTGTCCATAGGACCACTTTAAGACGTACACGCCACAGAGCTGGGCTTTATGGAAGAGTGGCCAGAAAAAAGCCATTGCTTAAAGAAGAAAATAAGCAAACACGTTTCGTGTTCGCCAAAAGGCACGTGGGAGACTCCCCAAACATATGGAAGAAGGTACACTGGTCAGATGAGACTAAAATTGAGGAAAACGCTATGTCTGGCGCAAACCCAACACCTCTCATCACCCCGAGAACACCATCCCCACAGTGAAGCATGGTGGTGGCAGCATCATGCTGTGGGGATTTTCTTCATCGGCAGGGACTGGGAAACTGGTCAGAATTGAAGAAATTATGGATGGCGCTAAATACAGGGAAATTCTTGAGGGAAACCTGTTTCAGTCTTCCAGATTTGAGACTGGGATGGAGGTTCACCTTCCAGCAGGACAATGACCCTAAGCATACTGCTAAAGCAACACTTGAGTGGTTTAAGGGGAAACATTTAAATGTCTTGGAATGGCCTAGTCAAAGCCCAGACCTCAATCCAATTGAGAAGCTGTGGTATGACTTAAAGATTGCTGTACACCAGCAGAACCCATCCAACTTGAAGCAAAAGGTGGCTCTACAAAGTATTGACTTTGGAGGGGTGAATAGTTATGCACGCTCAAGTTCTGTTTTTTTGTCGTATTTCTTGTTTGTTTCACATAAAAAAAATATTTTGCATCTTCAAAGTGGTAGGCTCCCGTGTTGAGGAGCAGCGTCGCGGATGTGTTGTTACCTACTCTTACCACTTGGGGGCGGCCCGTCAGGAAGTCCAGGATCCAGTTGCAGAGGGAGGTGTTTAGTCCTAGGGTCCATAGCTTAGTGATGAGCTTTGAGGGCACTATGGTGTTGAACTCTGAGCTGTAGTCAATGAATAGCATTCTCACATAGGTATTCCTTTTTGCCAGGTGTGAAAGGGCAGTGTGGAGCGCAATAGAGATTGCATCATCTGTGTGTAGATTGCTGAGGAAAACATTTTATTTAATCAATTTTAGAATAAGGCTGTAACGTAACAAAATGTGGAAAAAGTCAAGGGGTCTGAATACTTTCCGAAGGCACTGTATATCCAAATAAGGAACATAGGTAGATAAGACCACAGAAAAACAAGAAAATAGTTATAAACCTACTTTTTAAGCCAGAGAATTTATGCTCTTTTTAAAAGACTTGTGAGAACAACCACTCACTAACCATGTTGCCATCCAACCTTTTTATGTGAGTAAAGTACATTGGTTAAAAATTTCACAACAGGCCTGATGGAAACTGCAAATTATGTCTGTAAACTTTCCAAATGTCAACAAAACATAATAAGCTAGACAAGGTGGGAGCTTTTTGTGTCTGTAAAATTAATTACAGTGAGGGAAAAAAGTATTTGATCCCCTGCTGATTTTGTACGTTTGCCCACTGACAAAGACATGATCAGTCTATAATTTTAATGGTAGGTTTATTTGAACAGTGAGAGACAGAATAACAACAACAAAATCCAGAAAAACGCATGTCAAAAATGTTATAAATTGATTTGCATTTTAATGAGGGAAATAAGTATTTGACCCCTCTGCAAAACATGACTTAGTACATGGTGGAAAAACCCTTGTTGGCAATCACAGAGGTCAGATGTTTCTTGTAGATGGCCACCAGGTTTGCACACATCTCAGGAGGGATTTTGTCCCACTCCTCTTTGCAGATCTTCTCCAAGTCATTAAGGTTTCGAGCCTGACGTTTGGTAACTCGAACCTTCAGCTCCCTCCACAGATTTTCTATGGGATTAAGGTCTGGAGACTGGCTAGGCCACTCCACTCCAGGACCTTAATGTGCTTCTTCTTGAGCCACTCCTTTGTTGCCTTGGCCGTGTGTTTTGGGTTATTGTCATGCTGGAATACCTATCCACGACCCATTTTCAATGCCCTGACTGAGGGAAGGAGGTTCTCACCCAAGATTTGACGGTACATGGCCCCGTCCATCGTCCATTTGATGCGGGGAAGTTGTCCTGTCCCCTTAGCAGAAAAACACCCCCAAAGCATAATGTTTCCACCTCCATGTTTGACGGTGGGGATGGTGTTCTTGGGGTCATAGGCAGCATTCCTCCTCCTCCAAACACGGCGAGTTGAGTTGATGCCAAAGAGCTCCATTTTGGTCTCATCTGACCACAACACTTTCACCCAGTTCTCCTCTGAATCATTCAGATGTTCATTGGCAAATTTCAGACGGCCCTGTATATGTGCTTTCTTGAGCAGGGGGACCTTGCGGGCGCTGCAGGATTTCAGTCCTTCACGGCGTAGTGTGTTACCAATTGTTTTCTTGATGACTATGGTCCCAGCTGCCTTGAGATCATTGACAAGATCCTCCCGTGTAGTTCTGGGCTGATTCCTCACCGTTCTCATGATCATTGCAACTCCACGCGGTGAGATCTTGCCTAAAGCCACAGGCCGAGGGAGATTGACAGTTCTTTTGTGTTTCTTCCATTTGCCAATAATCGCACCAACTGTTGTCACCTTCTCACCAAGCTGCTGGCGATGGTCTTGTAGCCCATTCCAACCTTGTGTACGTCTACAATCTTGTCCCTGACATCCTTGGAGAGCTCTTTGGTCTTGGCCATGGTGGAGAGTTTGGAATCTGATTGATTTATTGCTTCTGTGGACAGGTGTCTTTTATACAGGTAACAAACTGAGATTAGGAGCATGCTCCTAATGTTTTTATTTAACCAGGTAAGCCAGTTGAGAACAAGTTCTCATTTACAACTGCGACCTGGCCAAGATAAAGCAAAGCAGTGCGATAAAAACAACAACACAGAGTTACATATGGGGTAAAACAAAACATAAAGTAAAAAATACAACAGAAAATATATATATACAGTGTGTGCAAATGTAGCAAATTATGGAGGTAAGGCAATAAATAGGCTATAGTGCAAAATAATTACAATTAGTATTAACACTGGAATGATAGATGTGCAAGAGAAGATGTGCAAATAGAGATACTGGGGTGCAAATGAGCAAAATAAATAACAATATAGGGATGAGGTAGTTGTGCTCCTAATCTCAGCTCGTTACCTGTATAAAAGACACCTGGGAGCCAGAAATCTTTCTGATTGAGAGGGGGTCAAATACTTATTTCCCTCATTAAAATGCAAATCAATTTATAACATTTTTGACATGCGTTTCTCTGGATTTTGTTGTTGTTATTCTGTCTCTCACTGTTCAAATAAACCTACCATTAAAATCAGCAGGGGATCAAATACTTTTTTCCCTCACTGTACATGAGAAATGGCAGTGGAAACGCCTTCATACTCAAATTGTTGATATAATAACCATCATGTCAAAGTAAACTTGGGAGTCACGCGATTATATGTTGTGTGGTCCTCCCACTATGACTCGGGAAAGCATGCAGTTAATTAGGCTACAGATTAAATTAGTTATGAACTTCACAGGGGGGTGAAATTGCACAGTGACGGGCTTAATGCTCCTTTACAATAAATATTGAGTTTCTTATTCTGATCGACGCTTGGCTGCATTTGACAAATCAAAATAATCTCATCATGTAGGCTATACCCGTACTGTATCTGTCATCTGATTTCTAGAGCGCACGTACCAAGACTAGAGCAGGCACATTCGCTATATAACGCAACATTTTTTGTGACAAAACCATCTGTAGAGTTAAAAATGCGATGGAAACTCATAACATTTATTTTTTATTCGGTACATGGAAATGTTATTTTTTTTTATGTGCACGTCATCACGCACAGATTTTTATCCGCCACAAGTCAATTTGATGGAAACATCTCTAGTGGGAAAATGAGCAAATCGTTTTAGGATTTTAGAATATTTGCATGAAAATCTGTCACCAATTGGTGACAGATACTGTGATAAATCTTTTGAGTGTTCAAAAAGAGACTTCACTTCATTTGTGACATTTCATCCAACATAAGGGACAGTACATAGAATTTAAAAAAGTAAAATCTATATACTCTAGAAAAATTTATAAAATGCATTGAGAATATAGTAGAATTCTGACATATATCCAATAGCTGGGACAATCTTAAAATGTGTCCACTATTTGGGGCATACAAAAATAATCAGACACTTTGAATCTGGGGCTCATGGCATGGTTATAACAAGTAATAATATCCGTTGACTTAATTGTCACCAAGTAATCAGGCGTCCACTCAGCATAAGACTCATTATTATATGGTGTTGTAATAGAAACTGGGCAGTCATTTATTTTTGCCCTTGCTGGGTTTGGCCAATAGGGCAGGATCGATGTCCTCTGCAGAAAGCCCCATGGTGGAGAAAAGGCGAACAGCGCGCTCGGACAGGGTTCCCCCACACTTCATCCCCCGTGCAATCAGTTCTGCCTTTAGCCTGTCCAACCCCAAAGTCTCCAGCTCCTTGTCCGAGTGCACTGCCTGGAGGTCTAAGGGCCCATCTTCCCACTGCATACCGGGGGAGAAACACACGAGTTAATCTTTAAAAGTAACTGCTCATTACGCTGTTCTATTTTGCTTGACTGCAGTTGGTCTTGTTGCAAAGTACCTTTCGTGGCGCATTATGAGCCATTAAACATAACTCTGGTTGTCTTAACATCTTATTTCCATTCTGGGCTGACCCAGAAAAACCAAGGTGCAAGCAGAAAAACCAAGGAGCAAGTATGGATGATGTAATATTGAAAACATGAAATAATGGACTTATAAGGGCCAAGAGAACAAATCTTGAGTGGAACATTAAGAAACTCACAGTGGGTTTGTTAGTGCTACTCTGAGCTTTGCTTAGACTGTCGGTCTTTGGGAATGTTTCTTCTGTGGGGACCACCTCCTTCTGAGCCCCACCATCACTGGTGCCCGAAGCTACTGCCTCTGCTTGAGATTGTGTCTGCACCTCTGCTGGGCTCTCTGGAGATCTGGGTCCTGAGCTGGAGTTGCTGCTTGTGCTAGGAGCTTCTGGAGTTGCTGTTTGTTCCGCTCTGCTCTGAGAGGCTGAGGTGTGAGCTGGCGTTGCTCCCTTTACGGGACTACTGGGTACCCCTGAGCCAGAATCAGATGTTGAGGGAGAGTTCCCGCTGTCGCTTGCAGCATCGTCATCCTCAGAGCTGTCCAGGTCATCCAGGCCACCAACACCCGTCCTGTAAAATCCTAAACATTTCACTACTGGGCAGTTTTTTCCCCCCCATTACATTTGATGTCTTTTTTTTTTTACAACAACATTGAACCAAGATGACAAAGCTCACTCACCAAAAGCATTTCTTCTTACTTTTCCCTTGGCCTTTGTTTGGAGGTGGCTTTTTGCGTTTCGGTGCCTCGTCTACTTTCACAAGTCCGCTGGAAGAGGCTTGCATTCCTAAAAAACAGACTGTTAGACTCATCCTTGAATTAGTTCTATGGATCAAACAGCCCTTTACATTGCAATCATTTTCCATAGCACAGATCATAAAGAAATGTCTCTCTATATATAAAGATATCTCCATAAAAATTACACCAGGGGCTATGCACTGTGTTTGGCCCTGTGCAGCTTCCAACCGTGTGTGTCAGCGAGGTTGGGTGAAAAACAAACATTTCCATTCTTACAAATGGACAATAAACATACTATTCTACCATTAATTCTAAATATCTATTTGAAATGAGTGCCTTTTAAGACTGAGTCATCCAGGCGTTCTGAGAGGTCGTGGCACTGTTGCTCGTAGTCTGGGTCTGTGAAGTGATGCTTGGGCTCGGCCAGCTTCCTCTGCAGTCTCTCCAGACGCCTTTGCTCTTTCTCTGCCTCGCGGTCTGCCTGCTTCTTAAGCCACTCTGCCATCCTGAAGACACAGACACACACAATATGACCTCATTTTTATTACCTATTTATTCATGCCATTTAGGTGATAGAGAGAGAGCATCCTCAACGAATTTGCTCACTTGTCACACCGAGGTCCATTACATTGCACCAAAAGTGCAAATTGATGATCAAATGCACCAGGCGAGCTTCATCTAGGACACCTAGTTAGGAAAATATTTCAAATCCCTGATAAAATAGAGTCTGTGGGATGACCATCTTACTCTTTCTCATGGTTGACATCTCTTAATCGCCTTCCGCTTAGATCTCTGCAGGCTTCGCGGTTTGTGGTCTTCTCAATTTGTGCCCCAAGAGCCCTAAGCATAGACCCAAAGCCTGCCAATTACAAATAATGGAACAGTTAGTTTTTCATTTACTCACTTATTCAGAATAATGTAAGCAACATTTCACACCTGTCCACCAACTTTAGGCTTAACAGTAAATTAGTATTTTTTTAAGTAGCTAGCTAACTAGCTAGATGGAAGTAATTAACCTGTTAACTAACTAGCTTGCTAGTTAGCTAGCTAGAATGCTTGCCCCTTAGACTTTAATAACTAGTTAGTTAGCTACCTCCTTTCCCACCACAGAGACGAGGCTCCAGTCGATACACCGCTCCAGCCTGCAATTTCTCATCAAGCTCTGATAATCGTCCCATTATTCTTGACGTAGAGATCTGATGACGGGATTCCCTGAAAACGATAGAAGAAACATTAGGCAAGTAGCTAGCTAATAGGGACGTAATGATTAACCAGTACGCATCGGTCCCCGGTTCAAATGTATAAGATATGAGCGCATCAGTCTTCGGGACCCCAAACCGATCCAAATGTAGCATCGGCCAGGAAATCGATTAAAAGGTTACGAATCGGCGGTTCACAAAAAAACGTTTTGCTCAAATTACTTTCTTTCTACCGTCGGGAAATCCCTCATATTTTGTGACAACTGCGTCCTCTCCTTCAGTGTAGAACTAAGCATTTCATTGTGTTGACAGTCATTGATCTACAACCCCAGGCAATATCAGTAGCCTAGTCAAACGGCACCAACTGTGCTGTAATATCTAACAATTTCACAACATATACCCAATACACACACATATCTAAGTAAGGAATAGAATTAAGAATATATACATATGGACGAGCAATGACAGAGCGGCATGGACTAAGATACAGTAGAATAGTATAGAATACAGTATGTACATATGAGATGAGTAATGCAAGATATGTAAACATTATTAAAGTGACTAGTGTTCCATTTCTTAAAGTGGCCAGTGACTTCTAGTCTATGTCTATAGGCAGCAGCCTCTAATGTGCTAGTGATGGCTATTTAACAGTCTGATGGCCTTGAGATAGAAGCTGTTTTTCAGTCTCTTGGTCCCAGCTTTGATGCACCTGTACTGACCTCGCCTTCTGGATGATAGTGGGGTGAACAGGCAGTGGCTCGGGTGGTTGCTGTCCTTGATTATCTTTTTGTTCTTCATGTGACATCGGATGCTGTAGGTGTCCTGGAGGGCGGGTAGTTTGCCCCCGGTAATGCGTTGGGCAGACCGCACCACCCTCTGGAGAGCCTTGCGGTTTAGGGCGGTGCAGTTGACGTACCAGGCGGTGATACAGCCCGACAGGATGCTCTGTGAGGGTTTAAGGTGCCAAGTCAAATTTATTCAGCCTCCTGAGGTTGAAGAGGCTCTGTTGCGCCTTCTTCACCACAATGTCTGTGTGTGTGGACCATTTAAATTTGTCAGTGATGTGTACGCCAAGGAACTTGAAGCTTTCCACCTTCTCCACTGCGGTCCTGTCGATGTGGATATGGGGGTGCACCCTCTGCTGTTTCCTGAAGTCCACGATCATCTCCTTTGTTTTGTTGACATTGAGTGAGGTTATTTTCCTGGTACCACACTCCCAGAGCCCTCACCTCCTCCCTGTAGGCTGTCTCGTCATTATTGGTAATCAAGCCTACTACTGTTGTGTCCTCTGCAAACTTGATGATTGAGTTGGAGGCGTGCTTGGCCACGCAGCCATAGGTGAAAAGGGAGTACACGAGTGGGCTGAGCACGCACCCTTGTGGGGCCCCAGTGTTGAGGATCAGCGAAGTGGAGGTGTTGTTTCCTACCTTCACCACCTGGGGGCCGTCCCTTCAGGAAGTCCAGGACCCAATTGCATAGGGCGGGATTCAGACCCAAGGCCTCGAGCTAAATTATGAGCTTGGAGGGTAAGTTTAAGCACCGCCTTCGCCCAATCCTGAGTCGTCCAAATAATCAACGACTTAAACCCAAAACCAGGAAATACTGCAGCTCTTTATTTAAAATGTTTTGCCAATTACAATAAGGCATAACATACATTCAAATAGAGTCCGTGGCAAACAGAGCACACAAGGGGTACAACATAGCTAAATAAACCAAAATAAAGAAAACAAATAGGAAAATAAATATAGGCTACAATGAGGCATAACTTAAGCTATGGGGTCTTCTAATAAATCTAATTAATTCATCAATTTATTTTTTGCTTACTTTTTTTCCTTCCTATACATTTCAATGAATCAAAGTTTTAAAAAAAATATATTGCTGAAAAACTATAAGCAAAGGCTGCATTTTTATGCATTTACTTTTACGAATATAAAATGTACCCAAAACAAGTAAAACATTCTAAAATTAAATTCTATGTTCTTATCTTCCATTATTATACCGAAAGCTACATTATCTCTAGTAAACTGGGTTATTGGAAAGATTTTTGTTCTAACCAGTCAAAACATATCACTCCAGAATGTGTTGCTGTAAACACAAAGGAAAAATAAATGGTCCGTTTCAATTTCTGAGTCACAAAATACAGTTATTGTGATCAAAATATAATCTATGCCAAAGCAATTCTCACAAGATAGATTAAATATTTTGAAGTGCAATTCCGGTCATCAAAAACACTCAGCTTTTCTATATCAGAATTCTTGATAAGAATTGACAGCATTTCTGCAGCCATAAGAAAGAGTGATGGTGAAATAGAGCAGCCTTGTTTAATTCCACGACTTATGTCAAATCGTGGATTAGTCCCTAGTGTTAAGGACACTGAGCTATGTGTTTTGATAAAAGGATCTAATCGTGTTCCTGAACTTTTCTCCAAAACCATAAAGCGCCAAAGGGCGGAAGATAAAAGGGTGTTCAACCATTGTTTTGTAAAAATCAAGAAAAATAGTAAATACATAGTTTATCAGATTCCTATATTGAAGCATGTCTTGGACCAAGCGTATGTTGTTCTACTTGGGCTTTGACAGATTCTCGCCGTTTCATCTGTACACGAGAGATTAACAAAAATAAATTAATACACAACTGAAACAGTACTTGCACTTGACCCCCCTAGCTCTGACTCTACTGATAGCTACTTTGAGGAACATTTTACTTTCTATGCCTGTGATATGTGGTTGTCCCGCCTAGCTATTTTACGATTAAAGCATTAACTGTAAATCGCTCAGGATTACAGCGTCTGCTAAATCAGGGGTTTCCTAACTTTTTCCAATCGGGGCCCCCACTTCCAGCATTGGGTAACATCCCGCGCACCCCACGTCTATTTCTATTGGCAAAAGCACTGTTCGTTTCACACCCTTCTTGTTGGTGGAGAGAATTGTGCAGGTTTAAAGCGTATGTCCTGCAATTCTACACATTTTGTCATGGGGTGCACAAGAAATGTGCTGTTTTAAAGCAAATTTCTTTGCAATTCCATACATTTTGCCATGTCTAATGTGAATTCGTATGATATTTGAGTGACTAAAAAATTACAACAATATCTATGGGCTAAAAAACCTAAATGAAATACAAAACCGTAGACATAGGCTAGTTGATCTGGACATTTCTGACAAGTTATAAATAGCTCTCTAAGGTATGCAATGACAAACATGACAAGAGGAACTGATGATGCACTACCCAATTTGCATTCTACTAGTACAACTTTCAAGAATACGTTTAAAGCCGGACTGAGCTCCTTTATAAACAAACCAAAAAAGTTTGGGAACCACTGTGCTAAATGACTAAACATTATTCTTAATTTTTTTTTACGTTTCGTTCTTGTATCGCTTCGGAGCCCATCTAAATGCGTATCGAATCACTTGAAATGGAAAGATACACATCCCTACTAGTACTGCTAGTAACTTTACTAGCTAGCTAGTTATAAAAATACAGAGTAGAAAAGACCATCTTTGCTCAAATGCTGTTTGGCAAAGTTAGTTAAGCTAGTTAGCGTCCGCTAATACCGCGATAGTTATTTAGCCAGTTTGCTAGCTTGTTGGATGTGTCGACCCACCTAGCTTGCCTTGCCAGAGCTAGCTTGCCAGAGCTAGCTAGGTTGGTTAGCTACCAACGAAGTATTATTTCAGTTTAATTGATAACACGACCATTTTGATACTAACCTTTTCTTTCGTAAAAATATCAACTAGATCACGGACAGAGGCTCCAGTAGGAAAAGAAGCATTGCAAAACTGAAGAAGTGGACCAGAAAGAAACAACTCCATGATTTTGCCAAAGACAGTACAGAAATGTAAGGTTGCTTTGTCGAGCTACTACCGGATATTTACGCGGAAGGCCGAGAGCTTAAAAAAAGAGAGCTTGTTATGTAACGTGACGATATAGCGTTTTTTTTAAGGGCTTTGTTTTTTCTACTAATTTTGCTACCAAAAATGTCATGAGTTGTTTTTTATACAGTACGGATTGGACTATTGTGGTATTCCTTCATTTTTTCTTAAAATGTAACACAAATAAAACACCCATCATCCTTTGCGGCAGACACACCAACATGGCAGCTTTGAACAAGGTTGTGTCATGTCTGAGGACTGGCACATGTGTGTTTCCAAAACGAGCAATAGATATTCGCAAGTCGTTATACAGCACAGATAGCGGGGAGACATCGGAAGGAAAAGCTGTGGAAGAAACGCAGAAACCAGCAGCCGACAAGGCGAAAAGTGGCTTCGCTGCAGCATATGAACAACACACAGACCTTCAGCAGAAGCAAGATCAGACGGGAACTGCTGTCAGACTTGGGTCAACAAGAAATGAAAAATCATTTGCGTCATTGCTACGAAATTCTCCTCTCATGCAGATGGGACCAGCAAAGGACAAAATGGTAATCGGCAAGATCTTTCACATAATCAAAGACGATTTATACATTGACTTTGGTGCCAAGTTCCATTGTGTATGTAAACGACCGACAGTGGATGGAGAGAGGTACCAGAGGGGGAGCAGGGTACGTCTGCGTCTTGAGGACCTCGAGCTCACATCTCGCTTCCTGGGTGGGAACACCGACACAACACTACTGGAAGCAGATGCCTTTCTTCTTGGACTGATCGAGAGCAAGGACGCAAAGACCAAAGAGTAGAACAGCATTGACTCCGACCCATAGACCTGCCCCGGAAGAGAACAGTTTTTCTTGTTGATGTCACTATTCTCACATTATGGTAATTTGTAACCGAGGGCTTGAACAATAAATGTATCCAAATGTATATGTTTCTGTTTCATCTTGAGAAATCTGCTACATCCATGTTCAATGGTCATTTCAATTACCCATTTATTCTGGAATCATTAAATGTCTCATGCTTAGTAACAGTCATGTGTCATCATAACCCAAAATATAAGGTTGTAGGTTCTTTATCTTTAGAAAATGAGTAACTCAAAAGTTCAGTCAGTTTTTATTCAGTGACATTATTTGCATAATTAAATGTGCAGTTCTGCATTGGATATAACCTACACCAATCACAGAACACAAACATATCCTGCTTCAGAGCACCTCACACCTCAAAGTTACTTTTTACCTTGTCACATTTTGAGGAGTCCCTTTCTTACATTTAGTGTTCAAAAGAGTTGAAAGAACCCTCACCAATTTTTCAACTAAAATTGGCATCTTGAGAAAAAGATGTGTTATGAACTTTTTTATATTTCTGTCTTTAACTGATGTAGGTTACTGTACTGAGGTATCCTAAAGACTAAGGCATCGGTACAATTTGCAGTTCATTAGCAGCCTATAGCTCTACATAAAATCAGAGATCCTACGAAAGGTAGCAAAAAATACATAAGAATGTCACAGAGTACAATGTCATCATCTCTTATCACAGACTAGCATCTGAATTCAATGGTTAAACAAAAGAGGAAAACCTAATGGAATGGAACATAAAAAATGCAGGCATTCTTTGTACGACGGTATGCCCTGAAAGCTTTGCCATTGTATAATGCGTGCAGTGCTTTACATGCAGCGACTCCCTTAGTAGAGCATCTCATATCACGTGTAATTGACCAGCTTAAATGCAATTCCCAAGTTATTGAGCAGAGGCAGCGAGGTATTTGAAGTGGTGATAAAAACTAGGGAGTAGTAGTTTCTTTGGGGTTGTTTGAGATGCTATGGAGGCACTGAGGCTATGGGTGTCCTCTACTATGGGTGTGTATGTGTCCTCTTCTACAGCATACAAGATCACCATACACTTCAACCACACATGGTCATATACAGCCACTGAGAGACAAAGACAGAGTGGATGAGGTTACGTTTTCCATAGTGAATCAGTGATTAAAAGACACATATCATGGAGATTCAAATGGTCTCACCTCTGTGATATTCATTTTAGCAGTTCCAGTGCCTTCTCTATCGAACTCCTGGAAGGCCTCTGTGAAAATAAGGGGAAATATATATTATTTATTTGTGCTTTAACACTATAATTAAGGCCATGAACATTTCTTGACCATCTGACCAATGACATCTTTAACCTGTAATTCAATGCAAGGCACCACTGCAGGCACATCCCCCACAGACTCACCAGTTAAATCTCACATTAGGGTCTAATTATTAACAACTTTAAAGCAGAAGTCTGGAGTTTGGACACTGAAAAAGACTGTTAGATGAAACATCTCTGAAAGTATTTCCCTGCTTGCTGTTTACAAAAGAAACATAACCATTGTTGAACCAATTTTTGTTATGTTGCGTAGCAGAAGTTATATAAATTACCCAGTTAAAGAAGAGTGCATGGACAATTCACATGCATTGAAGCTTAAAGGGATATTTTGGCAATGAGGCCATTTATCTACTTCCCCAGAGTTGGATGAACTTGTGGATACCATTTTTATGTCTCTGTGTCCAGTATGAAGGAAGGTAGTTTCGCGAGCCAATACTAACCTAGCGTTAGCACAAAGACTAAGTCTATGGGTATCTGCTAGCATGCTCATTGCCAAAATCCCAAAGTATCCTTTTAATGTGTGATAAGTAGAATATTAATGGAAATTATTATGGTATGAAGACTTGATGAATGATTGTAAGCTTCAGAGAGCACTACATCAATGTCTTGGTGCTGGAGGACAGAATTACCAGTACAGACAGAAGTCAAGAATTTCTCCTGGTCCTAGTTATGCAATGATCATGTGAATTCATTCACAAAATCAGTCCAGAAACAATCCCTGGCCTAGCCTTCACCCCCCTTTGCAGATTTAAAAGGATCAGATATGTATGCAAAATGGTGATAATGGCTCCACTAACCATTCCAATCAGGCATAGGGGAGCTTACATATATCCAATTTCTTGAAGGCTAAATGTTGTTTCTGGACCAGGTTGTGTAGTCAAAGGCAAAAAATACATACTGAACATGGCTTCTAGCTTGACCAGACAGCAGACAAAGTTGTCAAAGTCGATGACCTCGTTTTCAGAATATCTGGCCACAAGCACCTGGTTCAGCCTGTTGTTCAGTTTAAATCCTGTGAAGATCATAAAGCATGTAACACACGAAAACCAGAGAGTGTTTTTTCGACATCACATACTGTAGTCTAAGCCTGGTCCCAGATCTGGTTGTGCTATCATGTCAACTAATAGTAATACAATGGCAATAAGTGACAAGGAGTTGACATGATAGCACAAACAGATCTGGGACCAGGCTACTGTAGTCTAACTGTAAAGATGAAAGCAGTGTTATCCATTGATATCAATCAGTGGAGGCTGCTGAGGGGAGGACAGCTCATAATAATGGCTGGAACAGAGTGAATGGAATGGCATCAACTTATTCAGCTCCAGTCATTACTACAAGCCTGTCCTTCCCAATTCAGGTGCCACCAACCTCCTGTGATATCAACAGTCCTGAATTAACTATAATGTCATTGACAACATCAACTCTGCAATTCATAATGTGTTATAGTGCATAAGTCATGTAGAGTTATAGTACATAAGTTATAGTCATTAGCTGTTTCATTGAAGCCCCTGGATTGTGTTCAGTAGGTACACTGTAGCAAAACCTACACATTATTGTCAAGTTCAGGTAGCTAGTACATCTCTGTTTTACTCTATTTAAAAATATTTAGTGTCTACTGAACACTACCAATCCAGTAGTGCGAAGATAGAGTAATCACCAGCAGACTCCAAGGCCAGACGCATCTCATAGGAACTCATACATCCAGACTTGTCCAGATCAAACTGGCGGAAGATTCCCTGGGAAAATAAGAGATTTGAGCTATGGGTGTCTGCCTTGCATTCTTGCAAGCCATTGTCAATTTTACTATTACAGAAGTTAAATATTGTCATATAATTATCAGCATATTTCAACTCACCAGCCACTTTCTGATCTTATTCCACAGAATCTGAAACTCAACTATACCAAGGCGAGCGCTGCCATCTTTCTGCGTGCCAGGTGAGTCAAGGTGTCATGATAGCGATTGGAAATTGAGTGAAACATTTGTCTGTGTCACATATCAATGTAATTATATATTTTTTGTGATCATGCAATTGGTTTTGTTGTGTGTGCATAGTATTCTGCATAGTACTTTTCATTAATACTGCTGTAATATATGCTTTGCCCAAATAAAGTTGAGCATGTATTGAAACAAAGGGTAGGGAGTGTTAAAGTGACTAGCTGAGGAAGGATACGTCTATTAGGCTGACCATACCTCTACAGGACTCCATGCTGAACCCATCAGTCTTTAGGTCCCTGTCTGGGAATCAAATCAAATTTAAAAATCACAACACACTTTACATTAAAACAATAAATGAAAAAAGTGAAAGCAGTAAAGAGGATAAATAAAAGAACAAGATCACAGAAGATGTGTAAAACAATCACTTATTAAAGGCCCGGCTAAAAAGGTGGGGTTTTAAAAGTGATTTAAAAACCTCAATGGTGTCTGCCCCTCTTACATGAATATAGGATAACAGACCACATTTCAGAAATTGCATTGACTGGATGATGAGTCATTAAACCCCCTGGACCTGAAGAGCATTGAATGAACAGTACTTACGTTTGGTCACCACCCTATTGAGAATGGTCCTGAGCTCACGGACAGAGATCTCCATGTCCTAAAACATAAAGCAGATAATGGTTTTGCACTCAAATGTCTCCATGTTCTTAAACATAAAACACATTAGCTTTGCACTCAAATGCGTTTCGGAGCCATGCCACCAAAACCAAACTTGAAACTCACCTCCCCAGATAACTGAGCGAACATGGCCCTGAATGAGTCATCAATGTCACTCTCTGAGATGTCCTCCTGTGAAGATATCAAGACTCGGTTGTCCATCCATGTTCATACATGGTCAACAAGCGAAATAACAGTGCCTTGTGAAAGTATTTAATCCCTTGCAAAGTTCTGACATGTTGCAGTAACTTAAAAAATATGTTTTTTTAAACAGATCTACACAACCTACTCCACACTTTCAAACTAAAAGAAAAATACATTATTATCTTTCCCGTAATAAAAAATGGAAATGTCTCAATTGTATAAGTATTCACACCCCTGAGTCAAGTTCTTGGTGTAAGCACTTATTGCAAGGTAGTTGACACCTGAACATCTAAGCTCTCTTTACCTCATCTTCAAAGTTTGCCACCACGTCATCATCCAGTTCTCTGAAATGACATGGCAAATATTTCAAATAATTTCCATAAATGTTTACATGCAATGTTTAGAATATACCAAAGCGGCTTTTTACATTCAGTAATAGCCATACAATACAATACGATAGTCACACAGACTTTTATTCCAATTATTTACCAAGTTGTGCCAATGTCTAGAAGCTATAGTGGTATACAGATGTCGAATCTTAACTTGATCACTCTTTTGTCGCTGAGAATTTTCCTGCTGCATCAGGAAATTCAAAAATGTGATTCCCTGAAAAGTTATATTTTTCTCTCCATGCGGGGGCAGTCAAACGCTAGGCCTAGGTCCTATTACTCCAACATTCAAATGTATAAAAATGTATCTGAAATGCAGCCATACACATCAACAACTGTCATTTTATCTAGCTTAATAACATAAAATAGATATTGTGGGTGGGTGGTTGGATGGAGACATGTTGGATAGGGGGGAATGGGGGATAGGAGGTTGGGGATCGATGCGTACTTATTTTTGTTTATTTTCCTTTACATATTAAATGTATTATAATTTTTTAACTCTGTAATATGATCATAATGATCAATGCTTTGTATATATGTACCTTTTTTTAAATGTATTTTTATTTTTGAGTGGCAGCCGACAGGTGAATACGAACTAAATATGAAATGATATGACTCCCCCCCATGATCATAACAAATCATAGGCTTTCATGCACCATTGCGTAGGCTACCTCACCTACGCAATGGTGCATGACAGCCTATGATTTTTTAGATCTACAGTATATATTATCGAGAAAAAGGACATCTTAAAACCAGTTGAACTGGTGCCCAGTGGACCTGCAGTAGGCCTACTATGTAGGTACGATACTGCATTGTATACAAACGCCGATTCTAGCTGCCCCCTGGCTGCGATTCTAAATATTTCTTCAAACATTCAAATCCTCCTACTGCAGGATAATTTCCTCCTGCGACGAAACGGGTCAAATTAAGATCCGACATCTGTACATAATTACCAACAACTGATTGAGGTGTATTGAGAAAACCAGACTAGAAATGATTTAGGATTGACAATTTTGCTGCTGAAGTGAACAGAAATGTATTTCTCCATTTAAGTTGCACATCCCTGAAGTACTACTGTACTGTACTCACTGTGTCTCCGACTGCTTCTCAGTGAAGACTCTGAGGACAAAGTCAGCCTCCTTCCCAGGTTCGAAGGTGGAGGGTACCACCAGGTACTCCCCGGGCGGCAGGCGCAGCCGTGCGCTCACCTCCCTCAGGTTGATAAAGGTCTCAGAACGTGCACAGGACGAGTGCTTCAAGAAGAAGTCTTTCTTCAAGTGAACACTTTGACAACCCTTAAACTGAGAGAAGAGGGACAGGGGGTAGATAGGGCTAGTCTGTTTGTGTGCGTGTGTGAAACCGTTACATACCTCTTCTGGAATCTGTAACGATAGATGACAAAGAAGGAAAATAGAAAGGACAAGGTCAGTTTTAGGGACATTTTGTTTTGGTCTATCGTTGATTCTTTGGTCACTGGGTATCACATCAAATAAACAGACATTATACAGAGAATCTACCTCTACTTGGCTAAATGTCTCTTTGCTTTATTCTACCCTCCATCGACTTTTATTACGGCTTAATTTCCTCCTCTGCTACTGGCATGTCACCTTGTCATCTTTGACCCCTCACCTCGTAGATGGCAAAGCCGATGGTGTGCATGTCCTGGCCCTGGCGTCGGTAGCGGCGCCTATCCTTTTGCATGAGAGCCACCAAGAAGCTGCAGGCCTCCTCTTCATCCTCAGGGTCGTCGTCCTCCTCCAGCAGGGTAATCTTATACTGGGGGTTGATCCAAAAGGTGTCTAACAAAGACAGAAGGCAGAGGTCATGATAATGCATATTTTGGGGTTTTGGGTTCCTTTTGAACATAGCGAGTGAAAATGCCTGTGGTCAATTCTAACTCAACTCAGGACTCTATTTTAACAAACCAAATGCAAACGTAAATCTTAGCACACTCGCGCAGCACTGTGGGTGTGTCAGAAATATATTTGTCGTTTTGACAGTGGGAATTATGGGCACAACAGCTGCCGGTGGTGTAAAGAGGCACGCTTTTCATTCATTTAGGTGTAACGAGGGCTTGACCACTCACTGGCCAATGAAAACCTGCTCCTAAGCCTTTAATGTGGTTGTGTATTTATGGTGTTTGATGTTCCGTTGTCATGAACTCCAATTCGTCAGGAGAGCATGGATGTGCGTTTGAAGATTGTTTATTAAATGGCATAGGCCTATAGTAACCCTATAAAATCGGCCTAGTTATAAAAAAAACATGTATCCAGTTTTTCACAAAAAGGCTTCAACATGGGAATACTAGCCTACACATTGCATTCACATTTCGGTAGCCTAAATTGCAATGCAGGTCCGAGCCATGGACATTGCCTACAAAACGTTTTAAGATTAGCCAACCTTCGCCGTTGATATGGTCTGTATGGTGACTTTGCCAAGTGAAGAATTGTAAAGGTAAAGAAACAAACAGGCAAATATCTTAGACCACGTCCTTCCGATACATATGGCCCCAGAGCTAGAGTACTTGTTCACTTCTCTCCTTTATCTGTTTCTGTCTATGATCCTACAGCACCCCCTAATGTCATAACTAGGTACTTGAAAGAGTAACAACAAAATATCAATTTATTCATTTTAGTCATTTAGCAGACAAGTGCCTTGCAGATTTTTCACCTAGTCGGCTCGGGGATTAGAACCAGCGACCTTTCGGTTACTGGCACAACGCTCTTACCCACTAAGCTGCCTATTCCTTATAAAAAAGATGTTATGGTAAGTTCTCACTAGGATGTTTGTATGTTGTAACATATGCAATCCATTAACAATGTATGCAACTCATGTGATAAACAACAGACATGCAGTCAGTGGCTGATGAAGTTGAAGTGTATCCCTGACTCCAAAATCAACCTCTAGCTCCTACCACCTAGGCCAGGTGGAATTGTCACCATATTGCTTACAACTATCCAATCCTCTCAGGTCTACACAAGTGCCTACAAGGTAGTGGGTGTAGTGTAGTGGTCATGGTGTTCTCTCACTTGGATGGTTCCGGCAGCCTCCAGCCGTGCTGCCCTTCCTCCAGCCTCCGTCAAACTTGATGGTGTTCCAGAAACTCTGGCTGTCATCACTCAGAGCGTCTGCTGTCAAGTTACAGATCTCCAGCCGGGAAAACTGACGCAGGAACTCCTGGAAGGACATCCTGGATATACAGAGAGCATGGAAAGGGAGACCGATGGAATCTGTCAAAAGTTTGATAAAATGGTAATACATTTCCATCGGGTTTGGGTCAGGTGTGGGTTGGGTTAGATTATTATCGGGTGCAGGTGTGGTATACAGGGTCCAGCCCCAACAAACAGGACACCAGAACAAACAACTGAGCGTTGTGGGGGGAGAACACACAAGGCGATATCTCGGAATGTGAACTCACCAGAACTCCCCGTCCTCCATGTGACAATTCATTTCCTCCCTTTCTGTTGGATCAATCGCATCCCACTCAGACGAACTAATAGCAATATCCGAGAGAGAGAGAGAGAGAGAGAGAGAGAGAGAGACAGACACAGAGAGAGAGAGAGAGAAAGAGAGAGACAGTGATGAGTATTGTTTATAATTGATCAATAGAAATGTAATGCAAAGATCTTACTGACAACAACCTTAAAACTGGCTGCTCTGGATGACCAGGTGCTTTCGCTCTCCGAGGCTGACGTTAGGAAAACATTCATCAGTGAATACTCACAAAGCCACCAGCCCAGATGAGTGTGCTGACTAGGGCCGGGATGATACCAGTAACACGATACTCATTAGTATCGTGGCAAGGAAACAAAACACAAAACAGATTCACCTTCTTTAGGAAAACAGCCCTAATGTTGGAAACAAACATCATGTTGTCATCCAGAGTCACATTTATTTATTTTCCAAGCTATAGCAGACAATATTTTACATACAGGATGTTTTTAAAGGACCAAATAGTTTGTTCTGCTTAGTTTTTTCATTTTTTGCCATGGAATAAATATTGCGATACTGGTATCATCCCAGCCCTAGTGCTTACCAGCTGGTGGGCGTCTTCTCTAACATTTTCAAACTGTCCCAGGCTGTAGTCCCCACCTGCTTCAAGGAGACCATTACATCCAAGTGCCCAAGAAAAACAAGGTGACATGCCCAAATGACTATTGCCCCTGTATAGGCTCACCCCGGTCATCATGAAGTGCTTCAAGAGGCTGGTTATGGCCCCTGAGGACGGCCCACAGCATCATCCAGGACCCCACACACCCCAGCCACGAGCTGTTCACTCCCTTACAGTCTGGCAGACGGTATCGGAGCATGAGGTCTGATACCAACAGGCTCAGAGACAGTTTTTATCTACAAGTCATCAGACTGCTGAACACTTGAACTGGAACTGACTGACCACCTGCACTGATTCTCCGCACCGTAGCACACATGCACTCACTCACGCACACACCCACCCACACAGATATACACATACACACATTCATGCTACACACACATCACAACTGCTGCTAACAGACTCTTTATTATTATTGCTAAATACTGCACAATTTAAAACACTTTCCCCCCAATCCCCCCTTCCCCAAAACAAGTGTAAATATTAGACTATAAATTGTGGCTTCCTGTATTAAACTTATGCTAAAATGATTATTCTATTCTACTGAGTCATTTACTTTATGTTCGTATTCTTATATTTTATTATTTCTTATTGTTGTTGCATTGTCGAGAAGGAACCTGCAAGTAACCATTTCGTTGGATGCCATGTGTATCCGGTACATACGACTAATAAAACTTGAAACTTGAATAGCGAATTCAGAAAGAGGTCCACTGGAGTACTCGTGCACACAAACAAATCCTTACACAAATCCTTACACAGACACACACGCAGCCTTTTGGGGGCCCTAAGCGAGATTTGGTTGCAGTTTTAAAGCTAATTTCCTGGAATTCTATACATTTTTCCTTGACTTTTGCCATGTTCATACGATATCTGGGTGACTAACAAAATCAATGGGGGACCCCTGGAGGTCAGGGGCCCCCTGGAGATCAGCCATGAAGGTTTAGATATAGCTGGCTTGACTAACATTACCTAGCAATCTTATAAAATGTTAGCTGACATGGGCTAATTGAGTGACTGTCAGTGACTGACGTAAGAGAAAAACTGCTGATGCACGTTGTGTATTCTACCCGACTGAGCCACGGGGCCCTACGCGCAGCGTGTAGTCTACGCAGAGGCGGCACTGCGCACACAGTGTCCAGAAAAGCATGATGGTTGTGATGTGAACTCACTTATCACTCCAAGCCCCGGTCCACTCCACCTGACCCCAGGGGTTACGAATACGGATCAACTTCTCCATGCGACCCCGGAAATCCACCTATGATGATAGACAGACACACACAAACAAATGTGGGTCAGATTTTACATAGAAAGTGTAACCACTTGCCAACTTCCAATTTGACGGTAGAATTTCTCAATCCAGATGTTGTTTGATAGTCATAGATGCCCGTATAACTATTAATTTGGAAATAAATAATTTCTGCAAAATATTGCCTGTATACTGAAAGATCAGGAGAATAAGTGCCTCTTATTTTGCGATTTGTTTACGTCTACTATAATACATATTCCTGTTTTCACCACTCCTTTTCCTCCAATTCCAGATTCACACTAAGGTCAAGCTGAGCCAAGCTATGCTAAGTTGTACTTAGCTGGCCTGCTTAAGAATCCACCATGGAACCATGCTGGAAAGGACAATGTGGAGAAAAAAACATCTGCGCTATTACAGTATGGTTCGGGTCTGCCCTATAGTATGAATCAGGCACAATCGCCTAAGGCAGGGTTCTTCAATTCCGGTCCTGGAGGGCCGAAACACTTCTGTTTTTTATTTCTACCTGGTAGTTAATTGCACTCACCTGGTGTCCCAGGTCTGAATTAGCCCCTGATTAGAAGGAGATGATGAAAAACAGAGGTGTTTCGGCCCTCCAGGACCAGAATTGCAGAACCCTGGCCTAAGGCTTGAAATAGCCCGCAGGAAGAGGCATATCCCTCACTTTTCCACAATTCATTATCCAAAGCCTTATTTTCACTCACTCACCTGCTTCAGACCTGTGACAGAGTAGGCATGGCCTTTAACCAGCTTCTTAAAGGTCACTGCCTCCATGTCGAAGGCACTGGTGATCTAGGAATGCAAACAGATGTCATCATACATATTCAATTATTACTACCCACACTTGGGACATGACATCTTTGGCCAAAAATATAATTGCGATTTTGCTCTATGTCAACAACAGACTATTTGTCTCTCCACTTTAAAGAGGCTGTATGGAGGTTAGGTTATTGTTTACCTAAAATGTTGGCTTGAGTGTTGCCTGTATGCCCATGGGCATGGGAAGATGTGCCCATTTCTGTCCAATGGGGTAATATCAAAAGCAATATTTCTGTCCATTTTAGGGGACCACTTTTGGCTCAAACCATCACCAGAGGCAAAAAGTTGAGAATACTGCAGCTCACAATTCCATTATGTGGAAAGATCGTTTTAAAAAAATAAAATAAGCCAAGATTCATGATGCGAGTGATTCCGTTGTTTTGGGGAATTTAAAAGCTGAATGGGGGCGAAAATGTCAACCTAGATTAGAACATAGGACCTGCGCCAGTGACCTAGGTCCCGTCCAGAAACAACCCCTATCTGAGAGGACTGCATATGTGTACAGCAGGTTGTCCTGTGTGTCATGTAACAGGGACGCCACTTACGTCAATGGAGCAGCCCAGAAGGGAGCCTCTCTCCAGGGCTTTACCAATGATCCGGTACAGATCCTTAGGCGCCTTACGTAGCTCGTACATCTCTGCCACGCCACCGGTGAAGTCCTCAAAGCCCTCTGTGGTGCTGCCACCAGACAAGGCCTCGTAGGAGCCACTCAGTCTAACACAAAACAAAGGAATGACAATGTCACAATGTGTCAACCCTGGAAAATAATTATGTCCCTTCATGCAAAAATGCACCAGTATTCACCATCTACAATATTCGTAAATGAAACGTATGTTCATAAAACAAACATTACACCTAAGCACATAATAAACATATCATTATAGCTTCATAGATTGACGAAAGCTTAAGGAATGTATGATACAATTACAGATGTCAGAGCTAACTGGACTTGTGACATGTATGCTTTATGAACATACAATCGTTACCCACTGTTTACTTGGTGTAACAAATAAAACTTTGCAAAAAGAAAATTCTATTCTAAGATGGATGCACTGTATACCTGAATTACAGCCTGTTTTACAGAACCATTAAACATTTTTAAAGCTTTTGACACAGATAATAGCTAATATTAGGAAAGTCATACTTGGCATATGCCTTCTCAATCAGGGCACTCCAGAACTCGTTACCCTCAGCGGAGTGAACAAACATCAGCTCGCCATCTTTGACAGGCAGTCGATCATCAATGACAACGTCCACCCACTCTCCAAACTGCCAGAACTGTGAACAAACAAAACAGTCATTACTGTTGGTGAAGAATTTGGAGTCAGACATGAAGGCTATAATTGTTTTATGCTGTTTTATGCAACCTACAAAGGTTGATTTAAAATCCATCAAATCAAACTTCAATCTGAATATGACAAGTCACTATTTCTTATGTATGTAGGCTACCACGCTGTATGAAGCTGTATCATTATATTATCTTTCATTAAAATGTTTTTCTATTCCATTTCCTCTATTCTGTTTGATTGATTGGACCTGGAAGTGGAAGATGCCAGCGTAGTTGTCTTGAAAGGCTTGACCATGAGGGACCACCCTGTGTAGCAGCTTCTCGTTAAGGGTGAGGGAAGCAATGGCTGCCAGGAGCCAGCAGTCACCTAGCCACAGAGGGAAAATAGTAAAAAATGATCAATCAAATGTATTTATAAACACTGAGCGGTTGTCACCAAGTGCTTCACAGTAACCTGGTCTAGACTCCAAAGAGCAAGCAGATGCACAGTGGCCTGGAAAGCCTTCATACGAGGAGGAAACCTCAAGCGGAAGCAGGCTCAGAATAGAAGCACCTGGCCCAGATGGGAGACGAGGGAGATAGAGGCATTTTCAAATGTAATCATTTCAACCTGGGGTGAAAGTGTGAGAGAGGGAATAGAAAGTGTAGGGCGGCAGGTAGCTTAGTGGTTAAGAGCGTAGTGCCAGTAACAGAAAGGTCGCTGGTTCTAATCCCAGAGCCGACTAGGTGAAAAATCTGTCGATGTGCCCTTGAGCAAGGCACTTAACCCTAATTGCTCCTGTAAGTCGCTCTGGATAAGAGCGTCTGCTAAATGACTAAAATATAAATGAATAAATATAAGCTAATTTAGCTGAGCTCCAAATGTTTTATTAAAATACTGTCAAAATAACTATACAGAAATCTTAACAGTCAAAATCTAAAGGCATCATAGCCTAAATTAGTCATGTGTGCATCTTTCTCAAATATTACCTAGATGTCTTAAAACACAACATTTACATTGTCTGGTGCGGTTTCAATCCCACCACTTTCAATGAAGGCTGCTGTTAGTAACAAAAAAAAAACACTTAACTCATTCCAAGCACTCAGCTCAAATCACCCTTGTTCATAGTAGTGAGTGAATAGCCAACCTAATGCATTTTGGCCAGTCTGAGCCAAGCCTTCAAAAATGTGTTATTGTTTTCCAAAACCTCAACTCCTCTTTGAAAATTGCTTCCAATTTGCTTTAACTGAAATCATGCACCATCAGTAGACTACTATCAAATGGCATGCAGCAAGAACAGCTGAGATCTACACATGAAAATGTAAAAGGGTTATTCCCACCATCATCACATTGTTAAAACCATCAGGCAACCTCAAGTCTTCTGGTCCAGTGTAGCTCAGTTGATAGAGCATGGTGCTTGAAATTCCAGGGTTGTGGGTTTGATTCTCACGGGGGACCAGTACGAAAATGTATGCACTCTCTACTGTAAGTCGCTCTGGATAAGAGCGTCTGCTAAATGACTAAAATGTATTCAGCTGTTAAGGGGTCATGTACTGTAACTCAGTTAGTGTGGGGAGTAAGCATTAGCACTGTTGGTTAAGGGCTGTAAGTAAGCATTTCACTGTAATGTCTGCACCTGTTGTATTCGGCGCATGTGACCAATAAAATTTGATTTGATTTGATTTTGATTAGCTACTTCCCTATAGAGAGAGCTATGGGGATTGCTAATGCAATGTTAAAGGTCCCTAACGTCACTACTGCGGATTGGGGGTTGAAATCCTAAGGCTAAGGCCACACTCAGACGCATGACACATTCAATTGTGTATGACCTGCATCATTGTCAGTTTTGGTCCGTCAACAGTACAACTTCAAAAAGCATTTGCTTCATCCGAAATTCTCTAACATAAAATTCTAGTGTGTCGGCGCCCTAATGTGGGTGCATATGACAGCAGCCTTATCCATATAAGTGTATACTCAGAAGTAGATATGGTTAATAACTTAAGCCATGCACTGCTTGCTGGTGAAAATTGGAGGTGTACCTGTGGATGTATTTCAAGGCCTACCTTCAAACTCAGTGCCTCTTTACTTGACATCATGGGAAAATCTAAAGAAATCAGCCAAGACCTCAGAAAAACAATTGTAGACCTCCACAAGTCTGGTTCATCCTTGGGAGCAATTTCCAAACGCCTGAAGGTACCACGTTCATCTGTACAAACAATAGTACGCAAGTATAAACACCATGGGACCACGCAGCCGTCATACCGCTCAGGAAGGAGACGCATTCTATCTCCTAGAGATGAACGTACTTTGGTGCGAAAAGTGCAAATCAATCCCAGAACAACAGCAAAGGACCTTGTGAAGATGCTGGAAGAAACAGGTACAAAAGTATCTATATCCACAGTAAAACGAGTCCTATATCGACATAACCTGAAAGGCCGCTCAGCAAGGAAGAAGCCACTGCTCCAAAACCTCCATAAAAAAGCCAGACTACGGTTTGCAACTGCAAATGGGGACAAAGATCGTACTTTTTGGAGAAATGTCCTCCGGTCTGATGAAACAAAAATAGAACTGTTTGGCCATAATGAACATTGTTATGTTTGGAGGAAAAAGGGGGTCGCTTGCAAGCCGAAGAACACCATCCCAACTGTGAAGCACAGGGGTGGCAGCATCATGCTGTGGGGGTGCTTTGCTGCAGGAGGGACTGGTGCACTTCACAAAATAGATGGCATCATGAGGAAGGAAAATTATGTGGATATATTGAAGCAACATCTCAAGACATCAGTCAGGAAGTTAAAGCTTGGTTGCAAATGGGTCTTCCAAATGGACAATGACCCCAAGCATACTTCCAAAGTTGTGGCAAAATGGCTTAAGGACAACAAAGATCCTGGTTCGAGTCCAGTCTCGTGAAAAAAAGTAAAAGTATGGACCTTATAGTGAGGAGTATTATCAGATTCTGTCAATCATTGTCACATTTTCTATTACATTTCAAGCACTGATTAGCTGAACCTGAAGTTTGATGAGCCTTATAGAATGCTTGAAAGGCTACATAACTCAATCAAGTTAATTCCCAAAAACAAACAGAAGGGGGAGCCCACAGGCTGTGACGTAAAGGGAGAGTCAACTCCTGCCAAAGACAGAAAGAGAGAAGTTGTTTGTGGGCTGGGCCTTCATCCTGTCATGTGTATAATAATTACACATCAGACCGCCTTTTCCCTTCCAGCTAGACTAGAGATATGAGGAAACTTTAAACAAGACTTGTGAGATCACAAGAACAGAACAGTTTTGGGCATTATTTTTTGTTGCCATTTCCTGTGATCTACTCACAACAAAATAATTTTCTCACTAGTTAAAAAGGAAGCTGATCATGGCACTAATCACAACTGATAGCTCACTGATTGAACAATCTTTTATCTTGAATTCCATTCCAGTGGCTAGATCCGTTATCCGCCCCTCGTTATCCGCCTCCCTCCACCCTGTTTCGCAAACATACGCCAAAGATTGCTGCATGGGACTGGAGCCAATATCCATGAGCACGCTTTCTCTGTAGGCGTGTCCACTATTAGCCTTGCTGTGAGTCATTACCAGTATCTCCCTGACTCATAAATGGGTACCGCCACACTCAAGCAGTCAGCTGGCTAGTCAGGGTCATTCCTCTTTTACTCACAGAGCTACTCCAAAGGACATATACAGTTGAAGTCGGAAGTTTACATACACTTAGGTTGGAGTCATTAAAACTTGTTTTTCAACCACTCCACACATTTCTTGTTAACAAACTATAGTTTTGGCAAGTCGGTTAGGACATCTACTTTGTGCATGACACAAGTAATTTTTCTAACAATTGTTTACAGACAGATTATTTCACTTATAATTCACTGTATCACTGTATTCCAGTGGGTCAGAAGTTTACATACACTAAGTTGACTGTGCCTTTAAACAGCTTGGAAAATTCCAGAAAATGATGTCATGGCTTTAGAAGCTTCTGATAGGCTAATTGACATAATTTGAGTCAATTGGAGGTGTACCTGTGGATGTATTTCAAGGCCTACCTTCAAACTCAGTGCCTCTTTGCTTGACATCATGGGAAAATGAAAAGAAATCAGTCAAGACCTCAGAAAAACGATTGTAGACCTCCACAAGTCTGGTTCATCCTTGGGAACAATTTCCAAACGCCTGAAGGTACCACGTTCATCTGTACAAACAATAGTACGCAAGTATAAACACCATGGGACCACGCAGCCGTCATACCGCTCAGGAAGGAGACGCGTTCTTTTTCCTAGAGATGAACGTACTTTGGTGCGAAAAGTGCAAAACAATCTCAGAACAACAGCAAAGGACCTTGTGAAGATGCTGGTAGAAACAGGTACAAAAGTATCTATATCCACAGTAAAACGAGTCCTATATCGACATAACCTGAAAGGCCGCTCAGCAAGGAAGAAGCCACTGCTCCAAAACTGCCATATAAAAGCCAGACTACGGTTTGCAACTGCAAATGGGGACAAAGATTGTACTTTTTGGAGAAATTTCCTCCGGTTTGATGAAACAAAAATAAAACTGTTTGGCCATAATGACCATTGTTATGTTTGGAGGAAAAAGGGGGTCGCTTGCAAGCCGAAGAACACCATCCCAACCGTGAAGCACAGGGGTGGCAGGATCATGCTGTGGGGGTGCTTTGCTGCAGGAGGGACTGGTGCACTTCACAAAATAGATGGCATCATGAGGAAGGAAAATTATGTGGATATATTGAAGCAACATCTCAAGACATCAGTAAGGAAGTTAAAGCTTGGTCGCAAATGGGTCTTCCAAATGGACAATGACCCCAAGCATACTTCCAAAGTTGTGGCAAAATGGTTTAAGGACAACAAAGATCCTGGTTCGAGTCCAGGCTCTGTTGCGACCGGGAGACCCATGGGGCGGTGCACAATTGGCCCAGTGTCGTCCAGGGTAGGGGAGGGTTTGGCCGGCAGGGATGTCCTTGTCCCATCACGCTCTAGCGACCCCTGTGGCAGGCCGGGCGCAGTGCACGCTGGCTCGGTCGCCAGGTGTACGGTGTTTCCTCCGACACATTGGTGCGGCTGGCTTCCGGGTTAAGCGGGCACTGTGTCAAGAAGCAGTGCGGCTCGGTTGGGTTGTGTTTCGGAGGACGCACGACTCTCGACCTTCGCCTCTCCCGTGTCCGTATGGGGGTTGCAGCGATGGGACAAAGACTGTAACTACCAATTGGATACCATGAAATTGGGGAGGAAAAGGGGGTAAAATACCTAAAAAATAAAAAAAGGGGGCTGAATACTTTTGCAAGGCACTGTATGTGTTATTTCATAGTTGATGTCTTCACTATTATTCTACAATGTAGAAAATAGTAAAAATAAAGAAAAACCCTTGAGTAGGTGTGTCCAAACTTTTGACTGGTACTGTATATAACAATCTTTGTAAGGCCATTAAACCCCCTTTTAGTGTCAAACTATTACAGCACATTGACACCTAAACACATTGATACTCACCGAGTGCTCCTTGACAGATATCAGTCCTTGTAGCTCCGCCCAAAATGAACTCAGGGTTATCTGAAAGCTCCTATTGAAAATGAAGTAAAACCAGAAACAATCAAATAAATACCTACAAATATGTACACATCGAGACAAATATCATGAATGAAAATGTGGCTGATGTTTTTAAATCTGGTGCAAAAGCTTGTGTAGCTACAGTACCCCTCCTTATGATTTTGCAACTTCAACCATGTCCATTTTGCACTGACACAGAAAGTATCTTTAGTAAACTTTCAAGCTTTCAGAAAGGCTGTCAAAAGTAGATTGTTACTCTGTCAATGACATCAAAGCATCATTTGAGGAGTAAACAGCTGCCGCTAGTGTGAGAGAGTAGGACTGCCCTCTCAGCCTTAATATGTTCAAATCATTTAGCGGCTCGTGCTGTTAGTTAGTATACACAAGCAGCAGCTGTTGGAGGAGCTATGTCTGGCATGTAGGCCTCTAGACTGTTTGTTCACCACTCCCAGGCAAGGGACGCTGACTGAAGTGAGCATAGCTCTCCCGCCCACCCACATCCACATTACCGTTAAACTATCATCAGTGCTGTCATTACCTCTGCTACAGAATGACAGTGTCATCACATGCTGCGTGAAAGAGGGATTTTGAGTTACATTTGTTTTTTGTCCACCAAAACATTTTGCTGTAGTAAAGAATATAATAAATGTTCCAAGACCAACATAAAACAACTATTTGAAAGCAGAAATAGACTGGCACCCAGGCTAGGTTGAACATTGTTAACACAGCAATGTATCAACAACCATTTGTGTATATATAAAATCAAGGAAGGGTGTCTGATTTGTTGTTTGAGTGTTTTATCTTTGCATGGGGTGGGAGGAATTATCGGTAAGTGCACAGATGTCAGAATGATAGATTCATCTTTTACAGCACCTTTTCAGGTTTGGTGAAATGCTAACTCTAAATGCTAACTCTAAAAGCTCTAACCCTCTGCTGAAAAGAGCATCTGTTTTTTTCTCATTACATGCCATTCATCGTGCCCCTCCATGCCAAAATAACAATTTAATTCTCAGCTCAGGCGCAAAATGTATCTAGGGTGCCCTGTGTCTGCAAGTAGCACATACAAATCCTGCAGTCTAACCACACAGGAACAAGGGTTTGATTCAGAGGCTGGAGCAAAAGCTATTAAGATACTACTAGAACAGTTTACACTCACTCTTTTTTGCAATACCATTCATGAGTTTAGGGACAAATCCTTACTTGGGTTGATACAACCAAGGGATTTGCATGTGTATCTCTAGTATAGCTTCAACTACAATATTCATTTGGAGCCAGTGTAACTCCTATCAGTCTCTTACTGTGGGCCTCATCCACTCCACGCCCTGGGTTTTGGATGAGTGGGGGGCCAGCTCTTTGAAGCCCAGGGATGTTGGCTCGGTGGGGAAGCAGGGGTCCTCGAACAGACAGCCGCTCTCCAGGCACTCCTGCTTCAAGGCCTCGTAGTCCTGGTTGAGGAACTTCAGCGCCCGCTCGTTGGTTCCCATTCCCTCAGCGTGTAGTCTGTCCCTCTGGATACGTGCTGAGACCCCTCCGAATGGGTACATGCTGAGACGGACAAAAATAAGAGTGTGTGTGTGTGTGTGTGTGTGTGTGTTAAGAGGTGGGTTACTGGAAGCTAGCATATAAATAGCCTCGACAGAATACACTTGCAGGCAGAGGGACATTGTTTCAAATGAGAGAGGACACTGTACGATGTGGCTCATTATCAGTATACGCTTTTTACTCATGACAATGGAGATAATGTCTCAGAACTAGGAGCAGTGATGGGCCCAGAGCAGCCATGGGTAGGACCTTCTCTCTGAGTGCTGTCTGAATATTTCATAGATAAAACTGAGTGCCACAATGTAAAGGCGTTTGGATTATCTGGAATTCCACTGGTATTTTCATGTCAATTAATTAGTGGGCTTACAAAAATGCTAGCCTTTCGAAGATACCGTTTGACTATTGAGCATACACTTTCAGTGGAGTTTTTCACAAAAAATGTAAAACACTCCATTAATCTCAGGTCATATTTTGTTCATGAAGGCGGCAGGTAGCTTAGTGGTTAAGAGCATTGTGCCAGTAACCGAAAGGTTGCTGGTTCTAATCCCCGAGCCGACTAGGTGAAAAATCTGTCGATGTGCCCTTGAGCAAGGCACTTAACCCTAATTGCTCCTGTAAATCGCTCTGGATAAGAGCGTCTGCTAAATTACCAATTTATTTGTATTTATTTATTTTATATGGCTGGGTACTTAAAGGGCAGAACAAGCACTACGCTCAAATACAGTGAGGGAAAAAAGTATTTGATCCCCTGCTGATTTTGTACGTTTGCCCACTGACAAAGAAATGATCAGTCTATAATTTTAATGGTAGGTTTATTTGAACAGTGAGAGACAGAATAACAACAATAAAATCCAGAAAAACGCATGTCAAAAATGTTATAAATTTATTTGCATTTTAATGAGGGAAATAAGTATTTGACCCCCTCTCAATCAGAAAGATTTATGCCTCCCAGGTGTCTTTTATACAGGTATCGAGCTGAGATTAGGAGCACACTCTTAAAGGGAGTGTTCCTAATCTCAGTTTGTTACCTGTATAAAAGACAACTGTCCACAGAAGCAATCAATCAATCAGATTCCAAACTCTCCACCATGGCCAAGACCAAAGACCTCTCCAAGGATGTCAGGGACAAGATTGTAGACCTACACAAGGCTGGAATGGGCTATAAGACCATCGCCAAGCAGCTTGGTAAGAAGGTGACAACAGTTGGTGCGATTATTCGCAAATGGAAGAAACACAAAATAACTGTCAATCTCCCTCGGCCTGGGGCTCCATGCAAGATCTCACCTCGTGGAGTTGCAATGATCATGAGAACGGTGAGGAATCAGACCAGAACTACACGGGAGGATCTTGTCAATGATCTCAAGGCAGCTGGGACCATAGTCACCAAGAAAACAATTGGTAACACACTACGCCGTGAAGGACTAAAATCCTGCTGCGCCCGCAAGGTCCACCTGCTCAAGAAAGGACATATACAGACCCGTCTGAAGTTTGCCAATGAACATCTGAATGATTCAGAGGAGAACTGAGTGAAAGTGTTGTGGTCAGATGAGACCAAAATCGAGCTCTTTGGCATCAACTCAACTCGCCATATTTGGAGGAGGAGGAATGCTGCCTATGACCCCAAGAACACCATCCCCACCGTCAAACATGGAGGTGGAAACATTATTTTTTTTTCTGCTAAGGAGACAGGACAACTTCACTGCATCAAACGGACGATGGACGGGGCCATGTACCGTCAAATCTTGGGTGAGAACCTCCTTCCCTCAGCCAGGGCATTGAAAATGGGTCGTGGATGGGTATTCCAGCATGACAATGACCCAAAACACACGGCCAAGGCAACAAAAGAGTGGCTCAAGAAGAAGCACATTAAGGTCCTGGAGTGGCCTTGCCAGTCTCCAGACCTTAATCCCATAGAAAATCTGTGGAGGGAGCTGAAGGTTCGAGTTGCCAAACGTCAGCCTCGAAACCTTAATGACTTGGAGAAGATCTGCAAAGAGGAGTGGGACAAAATCCCTCCTGAGATGTGTGCAAACCTGGTGGCCAACTACAAGAAACGTCTGACCTCTGTGATTGCCAACAATGGTTTTGCCACCAGTACTAAGTCATGTTTTGCAGAGGGGTCAAATACTTATTTTCCTCATTAAAATGCAAATCAATTTATAACATTTTTTACATGCGTTTTTCTGGATTTTTTTGTTGTTATTCTGTCTCTCACTGTTCAAATAAACCTACCATTAAAATTATAGACTGATCATGTCTTTGTCAGTGGGCAAACGTACAAAATCAGCAGGGGATCAAATACTTTTTTCCCTCACTGTACTTTGAAGAGGCATTCTTCCTGGCCTGCCCTACAAAAAGTGATCACTGCTCTAACATAATTGGATATAGAGGAAGGACACCTTGTGTCCATCCATGCAATTCTGTCAGTCACAAAACTGAAACTACAGCATAAAACATTATTTGATGGTTAGGTTAGAGAAGGGACTACAATTCCAATCTGTACATTAGACTCCATTCCAGTCACTGAACAGACCATGACAAGAACACATATCTATATTATTGTACCTTCAGTCCTTCAGTGGTACAGGGGCAGCAGGCTTGGGGAAACAAAAGTCCAGTTAATTTAGGATTCAGTCTTCACAGATGCAGTCACAAACATACATAGCTAGAATTTCACTGTAGTATAGCAAAGCAGTGAGCTATACACACATGCAAGCAAGAAACACTGTTCGTTGTCCGTGTTGTACATTTCACTGACATGAGATTGATAAGGACAGCAGCTGGTAGAGAACTCTTATAGGTAGCTATAGAGCTGAATGGTACAGTATGTCATGTCATTCACTAAGTTCATTGACTAGAGGGGGGCCAGGGCTTGCTTTCAACACAGCGGCACTGTAGCATCACAGACCTATAACAAGAAGCAACTGTTTTTGAACGCTGAACTGTGTCTCATAACAAAAAAGGTTTATGGTATGATAGTCGATCGTTGTAGTAGACAGTACATCTGTATGGTACATCACAAAGTAGGTCCTAAAAACAGAATGAATTGTTGCAGACAATGACTCCCTTCTTCCATCCAAAGACACTTGCTGTGGAAATCAAACACACTTCAATAAACTAGTAGTGATGCTCCATTTTAAAACAGTTTGAATCCCCTTTTGTTTTTGCACTAATTTACACAATGCACCTAATACAATAAACAGAACTAGTCTTCTTCTATTACCAATCAAATACATTTTTATGGGGTATACTCCATATTTTAATTCTGCTTTCATACTGTAACAAGATAAAAATACTAATAATGCATTCATTTGGATTGATATATCAATACACAAGGCTGCAACAATACATTTGAATCAATATTGTTGATTGAAACTGAAATGCTTGTGGCAAGTCTATTGTAACTAAATCCAATTTGCCTGCCAACATTATAGGTAACAACGTGGCATTAAATTAGCATTTCTTGTTCATTTCATGGTCATCAAGAAAACGTTTCATGATCATTTTCGTGGATAAATCCAATAGCCTATACAAATTGATCAAATTGTTGCTTTGAGTATTGATAAGTCTAATCAGGTTCACACCCCTTCCAGAAAGCTGCATCACCTTTACAATAAGCCCATAATAACAATCAGTTAGCCTCCTTAATAACAATTCATTGAACCACAATCTGCATGGTTGAGAGTCATTTAAAGTACAGGCCTATAGGCTACTTTACGTTCTGCAATAATCCCTGTGAATATCACATTTGTTAATGTTTTCAGTGGATCAAATGAGCTCATTCTCTTTTTAGAATTGTATAAATAGCAATGTCAGAGAGTAGCATTTCAAGTAAAGGGAGTATGACAGTAATGGAGGATTTCAGAGAAAAATAATTTTGTTTTATAAATTATATCGTAAAAAGACATCAACGACAACGTCTCTCTATGAAGAAAGTAGTCCGTCCCCTGCCATGTTTGGAGGAATCAGCTGACATGGAGCAGTTCATCATATCATATTGCATGATCATAACGTGCAAAACTAATTTCCATGACTGGACATGCTTGACATAGATTATCATTGCAATGAAGCATGGTAACATGCAATTTCTGCTTTTATGCTGAGTTTCAGCGCATTTCATTCCGGTAAATTGTCCAATTCAATAACACAATCACATAGAGACATGCATCTGGCATTCCAAATCATAAATCAGACATAACTTACCACTGACTCGATTTTTTTTAGACACTTTTCGATGTGACGTTCAGTTTCTCTGTAAACTGATATGTGTAAATATGTCTATCATGTCATATGAGTAAAGAAGAACAAAGCTGCAATCAGTGTTGTTACTGCAGTGTCTTGCCCAGCCCATTCCGGTGGGAGGGGTTAGCAGCGTCAAAATGAGAGGGTTCGATGAATCCCGCCTGGCGCCGGTGTTGGTGTGTTTTGCGTCGGCTGAAAATTGATTGCATTCGATTTGGAAAAGGGCCGCCTCCCGGGCGTGAGCCAGGTGTCCCGTTCAAAACAAAAGAGACGCAATAAAGCACCTGTAGTAATTACCTCTGTGTTTTCCCATGCAAAAGGGATTGCGTTTGATAAAAACGCTTTATCTGCCTTCCCATTGAAAACTAGTTAGAAAATTCAAACATTTATTTTATGGAAAAGAGATGTTGTATGTTTTTGGGCGATGCATCATGCTGCCTTATTGACAAAATGACCGAGCGGAGCAGATTACTGTTTGGTTTGTGAAGGGAGTCACGCTTTTGCCCGATGACGTGTCGGGCCAATGCCAGGTGGCCCGCGGCTCAGCATAATCGAATCCACCAAGCCAATTTTATCCACCCAATCTTATTTAGCGTATTATTAAAGGGCCAAGATCCGTGTGTAGTTAGTGCGCAACTGCGCATCATAGACCGTATATGCCTATGGACCGTTGGTTTATAACCTAAAAGCCTACATATAGCCGATTGATTAATTTCCGACTGTTAACATTATTAGAATAGAATATATCTTTATTTAAGCATTTGCATGGAATTCCATGTGGACATTCCATAAAACAAGCCAAAATTAAAAGCAATTTCACAATCTCTACAAGGCATATTTTCTAATACAAAAAGTAACATATTACAGTGGTTGCGAACAAATATATTGTTGTTCCTCTTACAGAATGACATTCACATTAAACCTACCACAGTAATACCATACCACAGTTAGTAATGTCTTACTGAATACACAATACTATGCAGCATTGAATAAAATCCATACAAAAATGTGATATAAAAATCTAAAAAAATTCCATTAAATAATTATTTAATACTTGTTTTTTTTGAACTTGCACATTTTTTTCTTCGGAATGAACAGGGGTCTTCTAGATCATCACAAATGTTAGCCACTGTAACAAAAAGAACAGACCATCATATTGCATTAGGCATACCTGTGTTGTGAATCCAAGCTATCTGCAGTACCATATCCATCATATGCAAGTCAGAGCAGTCTTCATTGTTTCTTTGAATAATTAATTAACTGACCTGATGGAAGTCGAGCTCTATGGAGCCACTGTCATGAGCATCAATCTTCTTAAAGACTCCTGTAAAAATAGAGTAGTTATCAATTATTTACAGTAAAAACAAACACACAGGTTACAGCCCAAATGATGAATTCAGTGCCTAGTGTTAGATTTGCTTGATTTTATATAATTTTTAAACACTGTTTCTTCATTAGTTTTAAAATGACCACAAACTGGAGTTTGTGTTTCAGCCCAACAGCCACTTGGTTTGGAAGAGAACAAACGACATAATTTGGAGTGAAACAACAGGCTTTGGGTTATGATAGGGTAAAACAGATGTTCATAAGGCAACTGTAAGTTTAATTCCTCAAGAATAAATGGCTATATCATTAACTGAAATGATGACCATTGAACAACAGGAAATCTTATGGATTGGGATTTTGAGAAAGCCAACAATACTCACTGAACATCATATCCAGACGCATAAGGCAGGCCACAAAGTTATCAAAGTCGATGGTCATGTCTGGCTCAGCGTAGCGAGCTATGAGGATCTGATAAATGCTGTTGTTCAAAGTGAAGCCTGAGGAAGGAAAAGAAGAGTTTCCTTGTTAGAAACTGAGCAGTGAAGCACTGAGTGCAATGACAGCCTGTGTACCTAAGACTTTCTTTCTGTTGCAAACACCTTCAGTTCAGCTCAATTCACCTTACTCCAAACTGCTTCAATGGGTTTTTAATCTGTTATGCACATACATTATTCACTTCTATGACCAATAAGCTTAGGCCTTGCTCAACGACTCTGTTTCTGGAATTTGAACTCTATGGTTACTAGCACCAGTCCTTTTCCAAATCGGGTGCCTCATTACAATACTATTGATATTTGTCCTTTCCCCTATCTACTTCTACTTAACGGTGAACACTTTCACCAACCCATATCTGTCAGATCAGCGAAATCTCCAAGGAAGCCAAAAAGATAGGCTCAATTAAAAAGTAGTCACAGGATCAGAAAATGCCAAGAGACTCGCCTGCTTCTTTCAGGGCCATACGCATCTCTGGAGTACTCATGGTGCCTGAATTGTCCATGTCATTCTTCTTATAGATACCCTGTAGGAACAAATGGCACATATTACCCAATTCAATATTTTTTTGTTATAACATATGGTCATAACAATGACGTCATATGCATTACTGCCAGGTTAAACATGGCATGCTCCACATTATCAGCATGGGTAAGTACTACATCCACTATTTCCAACTTAATGTAATGTGTAATTGTATACATTGTGCATTGTTCCTAAGTAGTATTTTGTTTGTTAGTTTATCTTTTAGTTTTGTTGTAAATGTTGAGTATCTTATGTTCCTTGTGAAGTACTAGTGTAAAAAAATATGAGCCATTATATTTGTCGTAAAAGATTGAACATATCTGTACTTTGTCGATTAGATTAAGATCACTTTATTGGTCAATTGAACACAAGGTCAGAAATTTGACTTCTGCTTTTAACCCAACCCCTCCGAAAGACACACATACATTCACATACAGGAAGCGATGCAGGGGGGCTGCCACACTGGGCGCCCAGGGAGCTGTTGTTATTAAGTGCCTTGCTAAAGGGCACACAATGGCATCTAGGATACCCTCTGGTTGCCAGCTCACTTCCAGCCAGATTTTTACCGTCGGACCCGGGATTGGAACTGGCAACCCTACCGTTGCTCGCCTCTCTAACTGCTCGGCTACCCGCCGCCGAAACGATGGCCATCTATTTGCAATAAATATGAGCGTATTACAGGGGTCAAGACCCTCCGCTTTTCTTTGTGTGACTAATCTAAGATATGCACCTCATCATTGTTTTTGGTTGAGCATGTTCTGTCATACCTGTGGCACCTGTTGTAGAAATTGCTGGGAACTACCAATAGAAAATAGCAATCAGGGCACCCACATCATGGTAGAAATTCAAACCCTTCTCGACACATATCTTACCAGGTACTTCTGCACTTTCTTCCACAGAGTAGCGAACTCCCCAAGGCCCAATTTTCCATTTCCACTGTCCTACTGTAGAGTTAAGATTCAAACTTTCAGTACGAGCACACCATATCGAATAATTGGTTGAACATGGAACATAAGGAAATTCGTACCACTGGCAAGCAGATGAAAGCATTACTTTAGTTAATGTGATATAAGTTAGGAGATTGACATACTATAGTGTAGAACAGAGGAGGCTGGTTGGAGGAGCTATAGGAGGATGGGCTCATTGTAATGGCTGGAATGGAATAAATGGAACGGTTTGAAACACAGCAAACATATGGAAACCACATTTAGAATGGGAATACTGACGGAAAGAAAGGATACATCCATGAGGTTGACCATGATTCTACAGGTTTCAAGACTGAAGCCATCTGTTTTGATGTCAGTTCCTGCAAAACAACAAAAAGGACTATTGAGGGATATTCCAGAAAAGGGAGATTAATGAGTTAGCCAGCAAATGTTTGTCAGATCTTGAATCAACGCCGCTCCAGATAGAATTTTCAGCTCCAGAGACAGCTGAAACGATGGCAATGAATCATCCACAAAAAACCTGCCTCATCACAGGTTAGCTCAACTCTATCCTGATTTTGTGGCTACACTCACATGTTCTCAACCAATCAAATCAGATGTCCTACCTCCTCCAAGAATCATGTGGATGAATTTGCTAGTTGTTTGTTGCACTGATACATTTGTACTAGGCCATCAATGAGTGTATCCTAAATAATAAATGCTTGCATTTGCTTTATTCATCTTTCTGGAATAGCCTTCAGGTCCATCTGATGCTGTGTGCTTTCTAAGTAGGAGGAGTAACAGAGACCATCCCTGAACAGCAAACCTTGGACGATCCAATGTTCCCAACAACACTTTGTCACTCAAGTCAACCGTGCAACCGGGGTGAGCAACAGTTGACTAGATCTCAGGGCGGGTGAAATCACTTGTACAATGGGCTATCCCATAACACTGCATAGCTACATACACTTCAAATCTGCCTCAGATCCACAAAACAAAACTTTTGCTTACGTTTGGAGACAATCTTATTCATGAAGGTTTTCAGCTCTGCTGCAGAGATCTCCATGTCCTGAAGAAATAAAACAAAAGACAATACATATAAAATACTCAAGAACCCCAAAGAGAAACCTTTTCAAGATGAATGATGTTTAGGTTCACCCTCGAACATCCTTTGTAAGTGGACGAGGTGGTTATGAGGTTGTAATGCACTGATAAAAGGGTCAAAAGAATGATGTGTAAAAAAGAATGTACATCTCCTGCAAGCTTTGCAAACAAGCCTCGAAATTCCTGCGTCGACGTCATCATCAGATACAGTCTCCTAAAAAATAAAATAGTTGATATTAGAACATAATTAGAATGTTTATGGATGTAAAGATATGAGAGCAATACTCACAATAAACCAAGAAACAGAATTCAAACTTTGTTTTACAGTACATAAACGAATAGATATTTACTAGAAATGGCATGGTAAAATGGTAATTACATAGTAATAACCTATGAAGAACATGTTTGTTTCTTTGGGATTCTTCTTAACAAGGACGACTAGGCACTATTCATTATTGTGTTAAGTATCAGAAAGTACCTTAAGTATTGGTACTACCCAATTTCCTAGTAAATACCAGGTAAATACTAGTGGAAACAATACCATACAATTAAGTGAAACCAAGGCAGTCTGTGCACTACTCACATCATCTAAGTCTGCCTTGACAGGATCGTCACATGGTCTAGATAGCACAACATAAAACAAAACAAAAATGTTATATCTTAGCAGGCAGTAACAAGTCAGACTATCAACACATTACATTTCAGAGGTAATTGTTTGTGCAGGAGTAATTTAACCATTTACTGAATCGGCCCTTGGCCCTGAAAATGGATGAAACCTGAACAAAGGTGAGAGCATTACCGAGTCTCAGTCTGCTTCTCTGAGAAAACGCGGAGGCAGAAGTCGCCATTTAGGTGTGGCTCGAAGGTGGAGGGCACAATGAGGTACTCCCCGGGGGGCATTTTGAAGCGGGTGCTAACCTCTCGACGGTTGACGAAGGTCTCAGACCGGGCCTTCTGAGCATGTGTCAGGAAATAATTATTGTCCAGGTGAATCTCTCTCTGGCCATGAAACTGACAGGAGAATGAACCAAATCAGGGAAAGATGCAGGGTGTGTTTTAAGAAACAAACAAAAAAAATGCAGTCATAAAGGTTATTTAAAGTACGGAACAGGTGTTGGAAACCAACATTATTTTCCAATTGTTTCGTTCTGAACAGAAACAATTTTTTAGTTCCATTCTGCTGTTCCCACCAGCAAAATAAAGTTCTGAACCGGTTCGAACCAAAAAGCAGTAACAGTTTATATCGTTCCTTTCTGTTCCTTTTTAAACCTCTGAAAAAAGTTTTACGTTCAGCTCGAAATTACATGATTTTACCAATGGATAAAGCAGCTTGCTATGGAGCGGGCAAGCTATGTAGATGCATTGGACAGACAAGTGTAATGCAGGGTGCGACATGCGACTGAAATTTTGCGGGTGAGGAGCGCTGGGCATCTTGTTGGTATGACATGCATTATCTGAATTAGGCCAACAGAATTATACCTACGGAGGAGCAGCTTCTATGAAGGAGCTTTGAATGTCTTTGTACTTCAGAGAGTTTTGGCTTAACTATAACGTTCGACCAGAGCTAGCCCTTGATCATAATTCTCAGTTCCATTACATTACACATAATGCCGCCTAGAGTTTTCAAGAGCTAGACCAGAGCTAGCTAACAGGCTAGCTAGCTAACAAGCTTGTGTATGCAGAGCGGCACTATAATTAAAATAAAAACACGTCTTACCTTTTTGTAGTTAATAAATCCAATGTGAAACGTGATAACTATAGTATCCTTATCTAGCATTGAAAAAGTTAATCCATTGACTCCAATAAAAAATCTCTCTCCATAATTTCTGAATCATGCCTGTAACGTCAGTAGCTACAGTAGACTATGCATGCTTCGGAGGGAGGGGCAGGTAGCCTAAACACACACACTGGCAAAGATTTTCAGCTGGCAGGCAGGCAGACAGTGGAATACGTTTCTGAGTGACAGTGAAGGATTTGCATAGGTGCTTTGTTGCATGTTTTTGTGGGACTGGAAAAAAATGCCTGGAACGTAAAAATAACATTGTTAACCGGTTCCCATGCTTTTAAAATAACGGTTCTGTTCCGTAACAGTAGAGCTCACTTTCATTCTCGGTTCTGGTTCTGTTCTTCGAAATTGTTTATTATTTTCCAGTTTTTGGTTCTGTTCCCTGAACCGGTTCCAACCCCTGGTACGGAATACAGTAAAAGGAGGGTTTTAATGAGGGAAATAAGTATTTGACCTCTCTGCAAAACATGACTTAGTACTTGTAGTTGGCCACCAGGTTTGCACACATCTCAGGATGGATTTTGTTCCACTCCTCTTTGCAGATCTTCTCCAAGTCATTAAGGTTTCGAGGCTGACGTTTGGCAACTCAAACCTTCAGCTCCCGCCACAGATTTTCTATGGGATTAAGGTCTGGAGACTGGCTAGGCCACTCCAGGACCTTAATGTGCTTCTTCTTGAGCCACTCTTTTGTTGCCTTGGCCGTGTGTTTTCGGTCATTGTCATGCTGGAATACCCATCCACGACCCATTTTCAATACCCTGGCTGAACGAAGGAGGTTCTCACCCAAGATTTGACGGTACATGGCCCCGTCCATCGTCCCTTTGATGCGGTGAAGTTGTCCTGTCCCCTTAGCAGAAAAACACCCCCAAAGCATAATGTTTCCACCTCCATGTTTGACGGTGGGGATGGTGTTCTTGGGGTCATAGGCAGCATTCCTCCTCCTCCAAACACGGCGAGTTGAGTTGATGCCAAAGAGCTCCATTTTGGTCTCATCTGACCACAACACTTTCACCCAGTTCTCCTCTGAATCATTCAGATGTTCATTGGCAAACTTCAGACGGCCCTGTATATGTGCTTTCTTGAGCAGGGGGACCTTGCGGGCGCTGCAGGATTTCAGTCCTCCACGGCGTAGTGTGTTACCAATTGTTTTCTTGGTGACTATGGTCCCAGCTGCCTTGAGATCATTGACAAGATCCTCCCGTGTAGTTCTGGACTGATTCCTCACCGTTCTCATGATCATTGCAACTCCACGAGGTGAGATCTTGCATGGAGCCCCAGGCCCGAGGGAGATTGACAGTTATTTTGTGTTTCTTCCATTTGCAAATAATCGCACCAACTGTTGTCACCTTCTCACCAAGCTGCTTGGCGATGGTCTTGTAGCCCATTCCAGCCTTGTGTATGTCTACAATCTTGTCCCTGACATCCTTGGAGAGCTCTTTGGCTTGGCCGTGGTGGAGAGTTTGGAATCTGATTGATTGATTGCTTCTGTGGACAGGTGTCTTATATACAGGTAACAAGCTGAGATTAGGAGTACTCCCTTTAAGAGTGTGCTCCTAATCTCAGCTCGTTACCTGTATAAAAGACACCTGGGAGCCAGAAATCTTTCTGATTGAGAGGGGGTCAAATACTTATTTCCCTCATTAAAATGCAAATCAATTTATAAAATGTTTGACATGCGTTTTTCTGGATTTTGTTGTTGTTATTCTGTCTCTCACTGTACAAATAAACCTACTATTACAATTATAGACTGATCATTTCTTTGTCAGTGGGCAAACGTACAAAATCAGCAGGGGATCAAATACTTTTTTTCCCTCACTGTATGTAAACATATGTAGCAGACCTTTGTTGACTTTTGGTCATTACACACTGCATGGTCGCTTTGGTTAATCCCTCACCTGTGGTGGAACCTAAAACAAAACAAGAAAACTACATTTTCACCTCATATCAACTCATTTGTCTTCTGCAAACATCTGTTAATGTGATGCAATTATAATGCATTGTAAGAATTCTGATATGCATATATAGTCTTAGAATCATCTCATAATGACAATGAAATCCTGACTAAATAACAGCTATTTTCAGTCAGTTGGAAAATTGCAGCATCGAAATAAACAGTTATCCAAATATATAAATCGGCCAACGCCAAAAACAAAACATTTAAATACATTTGACAAAATCGGCCAATGCCAACAGAGCATGTCAGACTCCTTTGAGATTTGAACACCTTGACTATCTAGTTCAATTCGTCCAAATTGTACAAGGAGTATGGGGTAAGTGGAATGTTTTGTGAAACTGCTTTGCCCGCTAAAACCTACCGCCTTTTCTCGAGACAACCGCAGGGGGTTGAGAAAGACCTTCCTCACCTCATAGATGGCGAAGCCAATGGTGTGCATGTCCTCGCCTACTTTCCTCAGCCGGCGCCGGTTCTTCTGGATCAGGCCCACCACGAAGCTGCAGCCCACCTCGTTATCGTCAGGGTCATCGTCCGCCTCATCCAGCCTGATCACAAATTGGGGGTTCATCCAGAAGGTGTCTGGAGTTGGGAGGGAGGTAATGGAATAATCTGAAGTGTCTTGGATTTTTTAAAGCATGAAATAGTGTGAGTTTACTTTGTTTGAGGAGTGTTAAGCTGAATGAGGTTGAATACAACAGTACACCCAGCAAACCAAGAACATTCCCAACCAACATTAGCTAACATTCCAATTATTACGTTTTAATTAGGTTTTAAACAAACATTAGTCTACTTTCAAATATCCTTGGAATGTTGTGCTAATATTCAATAAAATGTTGTGCACAGCATTTGTAACAGCTACCACTGATTCCACTAAACAAAGACACTGCGTAAACATTGCCAGCTTTGTAAACATTGCTATGAATTGAATATAATTCCAGCTTTTGTACTGGCTTTTGCACTATTGATGAATATCAAATAGGTTCCATTGAAATGAATGGTTCTCTGTTCTCTATGTGAAAGTATAGAGACGAATATGGTCACTTTTGAAGACTTTAGCAATTGTACTCACGGGCGTGGTTCCTGCACCCCCCAGCAGTGGAACCCTTCCTCCAGCTACCATCATAGTTACACACGCTCCAGTGCTTCACAGAGTCATCCGTTAGCGTATCTGGGGTCAGAGTGCAAATCTCTATGCGCGAGTAATGCCGCAGGAACTCTGTAAATGACATCCTGCACATGGGCAAGAATAGGTGGAATCCTTAGCTGATACAGTTGATCGATTAAAGGGGACAGATACACTTTAAAGGTAGGTGCATTTTGTAACTTTCTTTTCATTTTCATTTCAGGTACTATGAAAACATTTGGGCAAGAAGCGTAACAAAAAAACGAAACAGAAAAATGTAAGCGTAACAAAAAAACACCAACATTTGCTACAACCCACCCTTCAGTTTAGAAACAAGAACAGGGGCAGCACTTTTGACTGGAAATTACAGAATGCACCTTTCAATGGTCATAACATAAAACCTTTTCAGGCACAATAGTTACTGTTACGTGAACGCATATGACATAACAGGTGTCTAAGGCTTTGGCTACAGCTAGAATCTTTTGCCTAAAAGAGTTCTTAAGGCTTTGGCTAGATCTAGCAATTTTAGCCTAAGTTTAGCGGACATGAGTCGGGCTCATAGTCTTGTGATGAGGTAGCAAGTCACCTGCAAGTGACTTCAAAATCAATGTCACTGGCCCAAGAGGACATTTCCTCTTGTTCTAGGTCAAGACGTTGGTTTCTCCTGTGAGAGACCAGGGTTCACATCGCGCGCGTGACATAAGGGCGACATTTTCGTAGTGCAAAACCATTGTGCAAGTTCAGAAATTAGCATAAACCTTAATATAATTTGGCAGCGTGATTTATTTGGAAACTCTTCTTCAAGAATAAGCGTTAAAAGGAGGCGGTTATCTAAACTATAGTATTCATCGCCTTATAACACACATTGTTGAAAAGTTTGCTACTTGGCATTTGGTGACATAAGTATGAAAAATGTATGCACTCACTAACTGTAAGTCGCTCTGGATAAGAGCATCTGCTAAATGACTAAAATGTAAATAAGATATGTAATGTTTATGACATTATTATGACACTGTTGTGGGGAGCAGCTCAGTGTGTTACCCAAATGTGTTAGCATCAGACACATGGTTATCAACTCTAAATAACTAAAATTGTTGTACCAGAATTCTCCATCATCAGCTTTGACATTCTGGCGCTCTGAATCATCCACGGAGTTCCACTCGGAGGAGCTGCAAGGAGGGCAAAGCAGTGAAAGGTCATTTTACTATAAGGTACAATGAGCATTCATTTCTCTGAGCTATTGTTCTGATAAAGGCACACCTGTCACTCCAAGCCCCTGTCCACTCCACTTGACCCCAAGGGTTACGTATTCTGATCAGCTTCTCCTTACAGCCACGATAGGTCACCTTAAACACACGCACAACTTACACATAATTACCCTCATGGACCCATGTGGGTGGTGGAATGACACTTTACATTAAGTCACCCTTCTGCCATAACCAGAATGTTTATAGTTAGCAGAATGTAACTATTTATCTTTTTTTTATTCTACAGTGACCAAAATGTTAAAAATTCCACGCATCTACACAATCTACTTTCATTTTGGAAGGCTTTCGTTTTTTTTCTCACCTCAACAGCCCCTGTTAGGGAGTAGGCATGCCCTTTCACCAGCTTCTGTTGTGTGACTGCCTCCGAATCAGCGGCACTGGTTATCTGCACCAACACAGGAAAACTGGGATTTGACCAAAGAATTGTAGTGGTGTGAGAAAAAACTTGGAATGAACTCGGAACTGAATTGTTATACAAGACCTAGATGTTCATACTGTATATATTTTAAACTTCAACACGACCTGGTTACTTCCTACCAAAATACTTTTTCCTTGCCACTGACACGCCTGTTTGGTCTTTTGTCTTTTAGGCTTAGGTCTAGGTTACTGTTATTAAGCATTTTGTAACAAATGTGTTTAAAAAAGCACTGCAGAATTTGATTGATTGATTGATCTGTTTATGTTACACATTTTCCCCTTTCTACTCTACCTCTCGTAATGTATTTCACACATCCATTTTCCATTTCTAAAGGCACACACTGTGCAAAGAAAACCTGTATAACAAACACACTATCCAACAGGATAACTTGAAACATATATTTTAACGATGTCTATGGTGACAACTGTGCTGTTAAAATAAACAGCGTGAAAAGGACCGACAAGAGAGCCTTACGTCAATGGAGCAGCCAAGCAGAGCCCCTGACTCGATTGCCTTCTTAATAATCTGGAACATGTTCGAAGGGGGTTGCCTCAGGTCGTAGTTCTCTGCAATGCCCCCAGTGAAGTCCTCAAAGCCCTCAGTGGTGGAGCCCCCAGACAAGGCCTCGTAGCAGCCATTCACCCTGTGGGCAAGACAGAAAGACTGTGAAATTAAAAAGACTAGATCACACAGATGTTTAAAATAGGTCACACAATATTTTCCCTACAGTGCCTAAAGAAAGTATCGTATTCCTAGCATTTGCCATGCAATATTTGCGTTCTGTCCGCATAGATTTTTGACTGCTACACTGGCAGTTTATCATTAAGTGCAAGGAATATAGACTCACTTGGCGTAGGCCTTCTCCAGCAGTGCACTCCAGAACTCTGAGCCCTCAGCTGAGTGAACAAACAGCAGCTCTCCATCTTTTGTGGGCAGCCTGTCATCAATGACAACATCCACCCACTCCCCAAACTGCCAAAACTGTGTAATGGGAGGGAGAGAAATTAATCAATACAATTTCGTACCTTAATTAGTCAGTTTAGATGTGTATTTTCAAACCTATGGATTTAAATGTTTAAAAACGTGTAGCATATTTTGATTACAGTAAAAGGTACACATTGTTACCTATTTGTATTTTGGGTGAGTACACATTGATTACAAATTCTACCAAACAAAAGCCCAACATTTGTTCACTTTCTTCACTTTCATTTTACCTGAAAGTGAAAAATTCCAGCGTAACTTTCCCCAAAGCTCTGTCCAATGGGGACCACTCTAGCCATGACATCTTCATTGAGTGTCAAAGAGGCAATGGCAGCCAAAAGCCAACAGTCACCTAAATAAAAAATTAAACAAAGAACAGGATCTAAGTTTGTATATTTGGGTTATTTATATAGATGAAGGTTGTGTACTTTTTGGGAATATATGTATTATCATGTTTACCACAAGCAGTGAGTGCACCAAGGTATTGCCCAATGCAAACAAGAGTGCATTGTGACATGTGGCAACACACTGGAAGGATATGTCTGTAGCTGTCACGTTCGTTGATGAACGGGTCAGACCAAGGCGCAGCGTGATATGTTTATTATACCGAATAAACACAACGACAAACTAAACGAAACGTGACGTCCAAGGTAGACAAACAACATACCTTACACGGAACAAGATCCCACAACCCACTAGTGCCAATAGGCTGCCTAAGTATGGTCCCCAATCAGAGACAACGAGCGACAGCTGCCTCTGATTGGGAACCACACCGGCCAACATAGATCTAGACATACTAGATCCAAACATAGAAAATACAACATAGAAAATCACACCCTGACTCAACAAATAAGAGTCCCCAGAGTCAGGGCGTGACAGTAGCTAATCTCCTCTCATATACTCTAGGTTTGAATGGGGACAGGGAACAATAAACAGATCTGGTAAGTCCACCCAGACAACAGCGAAAAGCCAACAGTCACTTGACAATAAAATAACTGATTCTAAGTGGTTTAACTAGTTGATATCTATTATATTTTCAATGCAGTTGTGACATCTGCAATGGTAGGCTAAACATTAACTGGAGACAAACATTTCTGTAAACTAGCGTCCTATCATAACGTTTGTTATGAGGACATAGGCCATTGAGTTAAATGTTCAAGTTAAGTCAACTGAGGAAATCAAATTAACAAAACTAGGTAACAAAATATTAGTTATATTATACCGTTTTTCTCAATCACGTGCAAGCGTTTTTTTTCCGGAACTGTGGCCAAACGTACCTATTACAGAACAACAATGATCAAATACCCAAATTAATTTGCCAAACTTCAGATCACTTTCTTGTCTTTGTATCTGGATTGCATATCTTAGATGCCCCTTTGCAAAACTATAAATACAAAATTCGGTAACACTTTACTTGACACCTAGCGTCATAACACATTATGATAGGGTCATAACCATGACATAATATGTCATAACAGCTGACATAACTTGTCATAACCTGTGATAATATGGTGATAACACTGTCATGACCCATTTATTTACACCTGTTGTGACATACACTACCGGTCAAAAGTTTTAGAACACCTACTCATTCAAGGGTTTTTTCTTTATTTTTACTATTTTCTACATTGTAGAATAATAGTGAAGACATCAAAACTATGAAATAACACATATGGAATCATGTAGTAACCAAAAAAGTGTTAAACAAATCTAAATGTATTTTATATTTGAGATTCTTCAAATAGCCACCCTTTGCCTTGATGACGCTTTGCACACTCTTGGCATTCTCTCAACCAGCTTTGATGTCTTCACTATTATTCTACAATGTAGAAAATAGTCAAAATAAAGAAAAACCCTTGAATGAGTAGGTATTCTAAAACTTTTGACCGGTAGTGTATATTGCGTTATTCTATGGCTGGTTATGACACCTACATTCAAATGTGTTTTTTCCCTGCCAAGAAGTTTCCTTTTGATTGAAAGTTTGTTTCTTCAATTCTGTGTTGTTGTTGTATTGAATTCTTTAAAGTCATGATTTTAAACTTTATGACACTGTCAAGAAGCAGTATGACCATCCTGTGTCACTTTGCTTGGACTAAGAATATACACTTTATGACACTGTCAAGAAGCATTATGACCATCAGAATCATATAAGCCAGTTAGGCCAAATACATACATGCCCTTATGTCAGTCATCAGTCAAAAAGAGGGTGTCTTGTCCTGTTCCTGAAATCTGCTCCTGCATTCATCAGCAACAGAGAATTGGGGTAGGTACATCTCTGACATCAATGTGTGAGCAATTATAATGATAATTCAATATGGTCAATTTCAGAAAATTGTATATAACATAAAAATACTGTTGACAAATAGGCTATGGTGTAATGGAATGTTCTGCCTTGTGGTGTAGGGCTTATGCAGTGCATGAAGTTGACGTTTTAAGACATGAGTGTAGGGGCTGTACTAGTCCAATTTGCGTTTTGATGCACTGGGGGCTTTTTCCAAAGGCAGTTTTCCTATAAAAATTGCTTTGCAGTGGAGCCTACAAGAGTGTGAAATAACTTACCTAGAGCTCCTTGACAGATATCTGTTCTGGTGGCTCCTCCAACAATGAACTCTGGTCTTGAGCACAACTCCTGAGGATATTATGTCACATTTAACCATGCATTAACCACAATAGCAGAAAAACAAACAAAGCCTACAGTATTTTCTATGCTTAGGATATCTCATATAAAAGCAAAGGGAAAATTGATAAATCTAGTAAAATTGTCAAATGGTATATTAAGACATTCACAATCTACATAGCATATGAAATATTGTTATGCCGTCGCAAATGCCAAATTCTTTACAATCATTGAAGTGCATAAATCAATGTTTAGCTTGGTTTTATCATGGCCTCTTGTGGACAAATCTCTGCAGCATGAAAAGGCTATTGACGCAGTTGAGTTCGTTTGCGTCAAAAGCCCCTCTACTGAATATTTTAGAAAATACTCGCAGAATAGGCTATAGGCAAAATGATGCACGGGGTAGTTTAAAACGCACGGGGCAACAATACGAACGGAGTAAATATGATGGGAAATAGGAAATCCCTATATATTATAATGTTTCAAATAAACATTTCTAAATAAACTAAAGCATATAACATTAATGGGTGGAAAAATAGACTTACTCCTGGTCTTTTCCATTGCACTGCTTTAGTTTTGTACAAGCTTGGTCCAAGTTCATTAAAGCCCAAAGACTCGGGTGCGGCTGGGAAAGTTGGATCCGAGAATAGCCCTCCTCGACTTAAACATTGCGCCCTAAGCGCTTCAAAATCCTGATTGAGATATTTTACGGCATTGGCATTGGTGCCAAATCCTGCAGCCAATGCCCGCTTTTTGGCTAGGTTAGACGCCATTCTATACTTTTTCAGTTAGATGCTGTACAACGTCGCTATCACCTAAAATGTACAGATGTTTCAGTCCCATAGAAAGTTTTGTTGTGACTCTCCGCCCAAAACTTTTACAGGCGTGGCTTGTCAGAAGCAAATGAATGAGTGTTTTCTCAACATCTCTTACGGAAAAAGAAAGGGATCAATCTAAAATCTCCATACAATGTTCACATCTTTAATTGCACATTAACACATATTTTAAAATAAATAATCTCAATGCACGTGGATTAACAATTTAGCTCCAAGTTCCCAAAATCAAACTGCATCAGAGATCTCTACCATTCACTGGGCATTTAATATTAATTGAACGTTCTCTGTAGTGTAGCCAACACTGATAGACTTTCCATTAACAAAGTAAACTAATAATAGTCTAGGCTAATAGTAACTAGTCTACTTTGCATAATAGGGGTCCCTTTGAAGGACCATCAATGTCCACACACACAGCACTCCTCTTTTGCTGTATGTCAGCTACAATTACCCCCTGGGAACTAATACAGGTCATTGAATTGAATGTGTTCCTCAACAATGCTGAGACATCTTAGCCTAATACATTTACATTTTTTGTCATTTATCAGACGCTCTTATCTAGAGCGACTTACAGGAGCAATTAGTGTTAAGTGCCTTGCTCAAGGGCACATCGACAGATTTTTCACCTAGTCGGCTCTGGGATTAGAACCAGCGACCTTTCGGTTACTGGCACAACGCTCTTACCAACTAAGCTACCTGCCGCCCTCTAGGCTAATACCTGTATGGTGCAGGCAACAGATGCCACACCTCCACCTCTGTCTTTATAGACTGCAGGTGAATTGACTCCACCCCTTCACACCTATCTCCCCAGTCCCAAAAGCCTTTTACTATACACACAGGAGCACCTACAGCACAGTTCACAGTCACAGTCACATACTGCAGCCATCTGAGTTCACAGCACCATGTCCAGTATAGCTAACCACTTGGCCAGGAGGAAAGCTAGGGAGGAAGGTGAATAATAAATAAGTCATTTAGCAGACGCTCTTATCCAGAGCGACTTACAGGAGCAATTAGGGTTAAGTGCCTTGCTCAAGGGCACATCAACAGATTTTTCACCTAGTCGGCTCTGGGATTAGAACCAGCGACCTTTCGGTTACTGGCACAACGCTCTTAACCACTAAGCTGCCTGCCGCCCCAGGGCAGCAACGACAAGGCCATCCCCTTTAACAAGCAAGACTTCCAGAGCCTGAGGAGAGAGTGTCTGGAGAGCCGGAAACTTTTCAGTGACCCATCCTTCCCTGCTGATTGGAACTCTCTTGGGTACAATGAGTTGGGTCGCTACTCCTCAAAAACCCGGGGCGTGGAGTGGAAAAGACCAACGGTAAGGACTTTGTCTCAGTACAAGGAGGATAGCTGAAGGAGGTATATCTACAAGGATTTGGCAGACAATTCACGTCTCACATGATAGTAGCCATTTCTGTTTTAGTAGTTTGTTAGATGTGCAGCAACAAAGAGGCACTTATCAATCTGATTCTTGCTTTGGTTCTTGTTGCAATTTCATCAAGATATATGTATCGAGCTCACAACATGTCTTTTGGATGAATAACTTGTTCAGGCTTTTGTTTTACTTTGTTTTAGAAGGCCCCATTGTTTTCCCTTCTCTTACTTTCTGTGTCCTTATTTAATATTCTGTGTATTGGGATTGTTCAGGATTTGTTTACAAAAATACATGGATGGACAACATCTTCTTACCACAATTGACAGATTAAAATGAAATTGTAAGGTGGAACAATTAACACCCCAACCCCCCCTCCTCCCAAATAACTTTTGTGTCCATGTCACCAGGGTAACCTCCTCATGGCTCAAGTTTCTATGTTATGCCCCAATGACTTATTTTCACAGACAGGTGGAATATATTCAGGCATAAATAGGCTTAATTAGTCAATAACTGAAAATGTGATTTCTTCATCATTGATTGCCATTGGGTGACATTTCTCTAGTCTGTCTCAAACCTCTTGATTGAAGATTAACCATAGTGCAGATAATTATTTAGATGTGTTGGAAGGTAAATTAAGTCTTGATAAAAATGTAATTGCAACTTACTGCCTGTATTTGTGCTGGCACCCTGTCTCAAGCATGCAAATTCAATGTACTGTACCTATATTCTGTCACTGTTTTGCTCTGCCCTTGAAACAAATTAAACTCCATACAGCTCATTTGGTCTTAATGTAGGGAAACAATTCATGCCTTATATTGTGCATTTTAGCATAATCTGGAGCAAAGTACCAATTGCTTAGTCTTTTTAAATGAACCGAATTCCTCCTATATTAATTCTGTTAGGTAAACAACCTATGCGTTTTCCAAACAGGAGTTGTGCTCAAGCCCTCAGGTCATTGTTGAAGGAGCCACGAGAACTGACATCTGCCAAGGGGCTTTGGGTGAGTTTGACACCTTATCCCCATACCTATATTGTTCTGTGTATTTGCCATAACATGAGATAAGGTGTGATGAGATTATACTTTGTTTGGTTGAAAATAAATTAGCTTTACATATCCAAACGGCACCTTTACTACACCAATTCCTTCCAGACAATATAGTGCACACCCCAAAGCAGGGTTATTAAGGATGTTATCTCACATTGTGATGTAGTGGTGTTAAAAGAGTCAGGCGCAGGAGGGTAAATCACAGAAAAACAGGCTTTAATCCGCAAAAATACAGGGTTTGTTGTGGAAAAGAACCACTATACTTTATTACAAATAAGGTCTTACAGAGTTTTTGTTGCATCAAGAAATGACTTTATTAAAGTTTTCAACAAAGACGATACCAGTCTGCAGAGTGGCACACCCCCTTACGGTCTCCCTCCATCTTATATCGTCCTCTTCAGTTTTCCCACTCTTTTATTGCTCTGCCCACTTCCTTTGTCTCTGAGAGCGGCTAAACTCAACTTTCATTAAGTTCAGAGTACTACAATCAATCAATCCTTATCTTGCAAAAACACTAATGTTTAGTTTAAACTCTGGTCAACCCTGGCTCTTTTCACTGTGTTTGAAGACAAAACAAACGGCCCAAGCCAGTCTTTGATAATGATAAGACTGACAGAATCATTAGATCATTTGTTTTGGTACTGTCCATTTGTAGCTTGTTTTTGGACACAGGTCCAGGAATGGTATGATAAGATAAGACAACCATGGATCTAAGTAAGAGCAAGCAATCTGACCCTAGGGCAGATTCCCTCTCTACTCACCCACACAGTGAAATTAAATGACCCAATACAATTCCTGGCCCAGTAACAAATAACTCTAACTTTATGCTCTTGATTAACCCAGTTCTACCTCATAGTCCATTAAACTCTACAGTTCATTAATAATAATTCACCACATATCCCTCCTCATGGGATGACTAATCCCATAACCTTACAAAAGTATATTATGTTTATGCTATCAATCACCATCCTTGCATTCAAAGTTATACTCATAATGAACAATATTAACATTTCTACCTAAACCAATTCCAATATAAGTGTTAGTATCCTAACACATTAAAACTATTGTAGTGTTGTTTTAGCCATACTGCCTAGGACATGTTTAAGAATAATATCAATATCTTTAACTCACATAACTTCATTCAGATCAATCTGTCAGTTTACAATTCATAATCATACTCAAATTAATTACCCAAAACAAATTTAGAATGACAATTCTTAGTTAGTCACCTTGGTTCCATCATTCAAAGTTAAAACTCTCACCTTGGCACATATTGACACTGGCATACTGTATAGTTATATTACCACAATTCTAACATGACCTTCCTCATAACGAGAATTACAACAGATCAGTATCCCAATGCATTCCTAGTCTAAATTACTATAAATTTAGCAGTGTATACTACCTCCTCAATTCAACACACTACCTCAACTAACACTCCCTTCCTCTACCGGCACTCAATCTTCTGGCGTCCTCCTTATGTTCTTCAGATAGCTTCATAGTTCATCTTGGATTGCCCATGGCAATGTCTCAATTCCAATGTCACACCTGAGCCGCCCCACCTCCACCATCATTCTGTTTTGTCCATTTTGCCAACCAGTATACCCAAACTATGAAGAATGTTGTATTTGCATAGATCTCTCTTCCTGCTCACTCCACATGGACTCCTGTCACATTCTTGAGAGAAAAGGCACAAAAGAGAAGGCAATTGATTGCTTTGATTTGATGCTGGATTCAGGTCTCCTGGCAGAGGTGGTGTCGGACAGGAACGTCTTCAACGCCTTTGTTGCTCCTCTTCAGCTGGGTAGAGGGTTTTTGGTTTTTATTGAGGTTTACACCGTTCTGGACCGAATTATCTCTGCTATGCATTACGACACCATCCGTAGTAACCTCAGGAAAGGACAGATCAAAACAGTTTAGTTGAGTTAATTTCTAATCCAAAACATCCCTATAAGCATTGACTATATGACAAATTATTATGTTTCACCACTCATTCTTAATACCAATTTCTAATACTTGATCCTGCTGCCTGATAGATTTTTCTTTGAGGGGTCCCTGTATTCCAAAGGCTATCTGTTTAAACGCCACCTAGTTTCACATTCTCCCTTGAATTCTCCCAAATTATATAACCCAATTGTTTTATTGTAACATTCCTATATTTCCTCATAGTCCATTTGATATTACTCTGGTGTTTCCCTTTTCCTTGTTCCTATTCTAACAATTGCTTACACTTCTCTCCTCATCCTGGTTGATCATAAAATTGTTTATAGTTAGAATTTCCTAAATATTACAAAAGTTGTGATTGAATCCTAGCACACAGTCCTGGTAACTGTGAAGATTTTGAACTACTGTTAATTCTTTAAACGGAGATGTGGTGCATATTAGACTATTTTCTTTATTTAATTGTAATGTAATATATTGTACTCATCTATACCAATCATTGTTTAACGGCTCCTTCCATTCCCTTTCTTATGTATTTGGTATGGCTCTAACATGTACAGGGTTTAGTGCACTTTC